TTGTCTCAGGGGATATTAATATAGATTTTAGGACGCCTAGTAGAGGTTGTGCTCTATGTATACATTTCATAAATTCCTATGGACTAACACAAATTGTTAATGAACCAACTCATATAACCCCGCACAGCAAAACTCTCATCGACATTATATTTGTGTCTGATGTCCATCAAACAACATGTGTTGAAGTATTAGATGTCAGAGGCCGTGGCTTGTCATATCATCAAGCTGTTCTTTGCAACATAGAGTCCAATCATTTTAGAAAAAAAAGCTTAAGTACCTATATCTTGACTTTCCACAATTTGATATTAATCTATTTAATGCTGAATTAAGTTACGTGAATTGGGATATAATTTACGCATTAAGTTACGTTGAAGATGATTTCTCATCTGAATAACTCCTTGATCCAGCTTTTCTCTGTACATGCTCCTTTAGTAAGAAAAACAGTTACGAAACCGCATACCCCTTGGCTTACTTATAATATAAAAGTAATGATTTCGTTAAGAAACAAAACTTTAAAAAAATATAAAAAAGATAAGACTGCAATAAATTGGACTAGCTATACCGAACTAAGGAATTTTACTACTGGAGCTATTCGACGAGAAAAAAGGGCTTATTTATACTTTGTTCTTAGAGAAATAAATTCCAAGAACACCTGGAACACTCTAAAATCCTTAGAAATTCTTAGAAAAAAAGCCAGTCTTATTATACCACCTAACTTAAGTAAATAAATTCGAATTTAAATATGTCTCTTCTGATTCAGTTCGTATAAAAAGTCATGCCGTTGGTTTAGATAACATATCACTGCGCATGATACAATTAGTAGAAAATTATTTAATCAATCATTTAACATTTATTTTCAATAAAATAATTTCTTTTTCTCATTACCCACTTTCGTGGAAACAGGCTTTTATTATTCCGCTTGCTAAGTGTAATCAACCTACTAGCCTATCTGACTTGCGTCCTATTAATATTCTACCGACCCTTTCTAAATCGTTTGAATTTATATTTAAACATAGTACGACCACTGCCCTCTTATCTATCATGGATGACCTTTTTAAGGCGACAGACCTGGGCAAAGTCACATGTTTGGTTCTCCTTGGTTAAAACATTTAATACTTTAGATCATCCAACATTATAGGAAAACTAAAATTTTTCGGTTATTCTCATAAATCTGTTTGTTTAATATCAAATTTTCTTAGCATACCAAATAAATTTAAATATTAATAATAATAATTCCACCAGATTTGGGGGTTTCATACTTAAACATACTTAAACAATTTTTAATTGCCCTACCAATATGCCGGTTATAATAGTTATTGGCAATACTCTATTATCATTTCAATTGTGTTGAATGTACAATGATAAGGATGTAACCGATGTAGCCATATTATTCTGCAAGTTGATCTACTTAATACATTTTTGGTTATTTATTTCTGAAAAGTGTGTTCAATAAATCATGTTTGTACATATTCTGATCAAGTTAAATGTTGTGTATCGTCAGCTAGTCTTGAATTTCAGGTTTTGTCCAGGAATTATTGGGTGTTTTAAAAAGTAATGTGCTGTGATAGGAAGGAAGCATTGTCTATAACAATCATTGAAGGCTCAGTTAAATTTATAATTAGTTTTCGAACCATTTAAAAAAATTCTTCATTCTCCACATGATAGTCGCGATTGTTACTATTTGATGAAAACACCATTTCTGCTCATCTGTAAAAAGAAAAACAACAACTCTTGTAGGTTTTACGCTTCTTTTTTCGTTATTTTGCCATGAGCGATTTACTGTGCCATTTTGAAAAATCCATGATAAACAAATTTATATAGAGACATATTTTTTGTACTGGTGTATAAGTTTAAAAACTAAATCTTCTACTGGCAACATGAGGAAGTTCCATAAGACCCCACCAGGCGTCATCTTCCTTCCAATTAAATCTTATATTTGTTAACACAATGATCTTTGCATTAAAGTTTTATGTAATTTCGAAGTTGTTACTTGTTGTTTCTTCTTGTACTATTATATTATTATAATTATTGTAAATGACATCACGAATGCAGTAAGAATTGAAAATTTCGGTTATAAATTTGGGATGTGGTCGCCTTTTTGGAGAAGATTTTAAAATTTGGTTATTAGGATTAGGATTATATTTATTTTGATTTAAGAGTTTATTATAAATGTTTTAAACTATTATATATTATTAAAATAACCAAAAAAGGTTGACAGCTGTGTGCACGTAGTTTAGATTCAAAAGGAAAGACTTGTATTTCGTGCAAAACTTTTTAATTAATAAATGCAAAGCGCTTTCGGCTTATTTGCCATCATCAGTGCTTATCTACAAAAATTGTGGATGTAAACTTACAATTTAAAAAAATATATTATAAAATCTGAATAAGACTTTTAAGTCAAAAGTTAAAATTGTATATATACGATTGTTTGGACAAATTAACAATTACAAGAAACAAACAAAGTGACAAAAAACTGGTATTGGGAATAGTGTGAGTGTGGGATAAGCCCTTACAAATCATATCTGATCTCCAGAAGCAAGTTAGCTTGTGTGGAATTAAGGAATTATGCCACCTTCACTATTCACACAATTGAAAACAAGTTAACAAATTAGTTAAAATTTAAAGAAATTTACAAATATAGGGTGACTGTGGAAGATATATTGAAATTTGAATCTAGAATACAATAGTTAATATAAAGAAAGTTAAACACAGAAGGCCAAAGTAAAAAAAAAAACTGAAGGTTTTTTTTTATTTTATATACATTATAATTATAAAAAAGTCTACCTACAGTCCACAACGTATCCAACAAGTTCCTGGTCATCCTCATTCCCAAAATTAGATATTTCGGGATATTTACAACTTGCTAAATCATAATCTTAGTATTATTAATATTTTCAAATTTAAATTTATCTATTCATTTTTATTCAAGTTGTTTAACCGTTTCCACATGACAGTGGTGACAAGAGACACTTGAAGACGTTGACTTGTCAAATGTCAAGAGAAGGAGGTGCGTTCACCTCAGTGTGGAACATGTTTCTCCGAGTGTGATTCGAGTGATTGGAGGTGGTTAACGGAGATCAAAATTTGTTAGTATTGAATTTAAAGATTTGATTTATTGTTAGTTAAATTTAAATAAATGTTTAATATAAATGATATTATTATTTTGATGTCAAGACAAAACAAAAATGTCACTCGCGTGATTCTGATGTGCCAGCACGGGCTCTCTTTCAGAGAACCCACGATGGCACAACTGAACCCGCGGTCCCTAAAGGTGAATCTGATGTTTAGTCCTAAAAATTACTAAATCACTCATCAAACGTACTCATGGTTGCAAGAAACAAAATAGAGAACAAAAAAGTTTTAAACAAAAGAGTTCCATGGTCCCAAAGGTAGGCTCTGATGGGTGAAATCGAGTTTAGGAGGGGATAGCTCTCGAAGGCTTGTATTGGGCGAGTCGGACCTACATCATCATAGAGGGTTAATTGAGTTGTCCATGGAATGGTATGACATTTACATTCACAATTTTTGTAGATAAGCACTGATGATGGCAAATAAGCCGAAAGCGCTTTGCATTTATTAATTAAAAAGTTTTGCACGAAATACAAGTCTTTCCTTTTGAATGTATTATGTATTAATTTATTTAAAATACCAATCAGACTTTTTCAAATTTTGATTGTTTAGTTTTCCCAAAATGTATTTTTAGTTGTCACCAATAAGATTTGTTTTCTTCAATTTTCATCTGGGTCGCAGGGTAAGGTCATGAGATCATCCCAATAATGTTCAGCCTTCTTTCCATATTTCTTGACCACAGAATTATCATAAGTAATGTCCACTTAATTTGATTGCATAATTATTGACCAGTGGTGTCACAGTTTATTATTTTAAAACATTTTTTTCATTGTAGGTATTTATAGCCAAGGAAAACTAATTAATGTTAGTTGGAAACACAATATTTTTTCTGTTCAACTTTAGAAGAATCCAAATCTCAAATAAAACAAACTAACCTCTAAGCGTGATAAATTTCAGAGCTGCGATTTAAACTGAAATCCAAACAGATTATTTGGTATTTCAAACTTTAAATCGAGAAAGTTTATCTAACGAACTTTCGAATTCGTTTGGACATTTTCACGTAATCCTGCAACATTTCAGGATTGTTCTAGGTCTAGGCAATGCAAATCCTATTCAATGGATCAATTACTTAACTAATTGGTTTTCTCAATTTAAGCCTTATATCTCTTTTACCAGTAATTTTTAATTTCAAGTAGTTCTATTTATTTTAGTATTGCTGACATTTTTAAATAATTTGTATCCATATCTAAAATGATCACATTTCTCCGGTGTTACGGGCATTGATTAACATTCTGATGTTATCAGTAAATTAACTAATTTTCAGATTGTATCTATGAATGCAATGCATTTAACCCTAGATAGTCAGTATAAATTAGTTGGTTCCCTATTTTAATCTAAAACAACTTGATTTGCCCTTATCTAAGTACCAGTTCTTTTTTATATTTTTATAACCATTAAGAATATTATTTCTTATTTGTTTTATAATTTTTTTTTATTTATCCCTCTATTAGAAATCTTTTATATGATATATTCTCCTCTTTCATCTTGATTTTCCCTTCTCTTCTGCCTTATAGTAATAATATTTGAGGTGACTCAACCTATTACATTTGATTGTTCACCAAGATTAGATTAGATTTAATTAGGACTGTAGGCCATGTAGCCCCCCCCCCATATCGACCTTTTCAGCTAGTTGCCCTTGATTTTTTTGTTCAAGTGTAAGGAATCTCAGTCAGGGCCAATAAGAGCACTTGAGGCTCCTTGTGGGGTTAGTAAGTTAAAATTCAACGTTATATTTTCCAAAAATTTTCTTTATTACTTTTGCTTGATTGAGAGACTGAAATTTGAATAGTTTTGTGAAAAATATATTAATATTAAGTCTGTCCGACTCGAACTTGGCTGGTTTTATATATAAACCAATAAAAAAATAATAATTCCACTAAAAATTAATCAAATAATTTATTAATTCTATTAATAATCAATCACAATAACAAATATTTTTTGCTTTTTAGATTCGGAGGTAAAGGATTTGGTTTGACTTTCAACAATTGCTGAAAACCGCCTACTATCGCATCCCATTGGGTCACCATTCTTAAATTTACATCAAACTTGTTCATAACTTCTTTCATTGTTGGATAAAGATGTTTAAGTATTGAATGATCCAAAGTAGGAAAAAGATGATGTAGAGAATGGTCTCCAAAACATGTTAAAACGAGAAAATCGGATCCTGTTATATCCTTGCGGTCCATAACGGCATCAAGTTGATTCAAGCCCCAGTCGTATTCATCAAGAGATCTAAAAAATCGTTTGAATTAATGAATATAAAACTTACTTCTTCCATTTTGGGTTGGTATAATCTAAGACTCGAAATAATAAGAGTAAGATAAAACATGCCTTGGAGTATCTCCATCGTGAAAAACATCGGGATGGTGATGAGCTGCATTAAATCCAATTAAAGTAAATTGAAAAGAACCAACCAAAAGGATAACATTCCACATAATAAATGTGTTTAGAATTGTTTCTGTTCCAAAGATATACATCAATAATGGTAAGCTCAAGCCAGTAAAACCTATGGGTTTTAAAGTTTTATACGTCTGTAGTCTGAAAATAAATTGTATAATTATAATATTTATAAGTTTTTCTTTCTGTTTTGAATCCCAAAATATTGTCTATTTTAACTGAACTTTTACAATAACTTTACAACTAATACCATTAACGTATAACGTCTATCATAAAACTAACTGACTGACATCAGGATCACTGACTTATATAGCTTGCTTTAACTTTCTCGAACCTTCTCGAACTGTCCAGATTTTTCTTGACGTGGAATGACATTTCTCGAATATTCCCCCTTCTTCTTTTACTCATACCTTTACTTATGACGACCGCAGCCCGCTGAAAACAGTAGTCTATTTGACTAGACGCCGGATTGTCAAAATGCCTTCACCGAATTAAAAAAACGATTGACCACGGCACCCATCCTAGCACACCCTCGGGAAAAAGGACAATTCATTTAAGACTGCGACGCATCCCAACATGGCGTGGGCGCCGTGCTATCCCAAGAACAGGAGAAAGAAAAAAAGTAATTGCGAATGTTAGTAAGACATTAGGAAAAGAACTTTTAGCTATTGTCAAAGCCCTTGAACACTTTCATACTTATCTTTTTAACGGAAGTTTTATCATTAGAAGTGACTATAGCGCCTTGCAGTGCCTGATGAATTTCAAAAAAACCTGAAGGACAAGTTGCTAGATGGGTAGAAAGACTGTAACAATATAACTTCATAGCAACGCAGACATTCTTTCCAGGAGACCCTGTTTAGAACGACAGTGCCGGTACTGTAAAAGGCTTGAAGAACGAGAGGAGCTGGTTGAAGAAGTTAGTCTTCAGGCGACCACTATCAAGCCAGAAGATGAAGAAGACGAAATAACCCTTAAAAGCCTAAGAAATACCCAAAAGAAAGACAATGAGTTGAAGGTTGTACGAAAATGGCTCAAATATAGTGGAACCATTACAGTGTACTGGTCTCAGTGGGATTCCCTGTATCTTCACGATGGCCTATTGCACCGGAAGTGGGAGTAAATATAGTTCGCCAAGTGATACCTACTGTTGAAATCACAGGTCAGAAGTTTGTTGGAGGGGCTTCGTAGCAGCCGTTCATGAGGACACTTTGGTACTAAAAGGACACTTACACGAGTTCGGAAAAGATTTTATTGGGTCAATTGCCGACGGGATGTAGAAGATTGGAATAAGGAATGTGACGTTTGTAATGGCAAAAAAGGGTCCAAAACAAGAAGTCGAGGTAAAATGGCACAGTACCTTTCCGGAGAACCTTTTGAACGAATCGCCATAGATATCCTCGGACCACTTCCCTTAACAGAAAGGAAAACTAAATATATTCTTATTCCAAACCAGCAGCAGGAACGACATCCTGGCTATAGCTTAATTTTATAATAATATATACCACTTGTTGTAGTCGCTGATTAAGGAATGAGAGGTTTTTAAAAAATAATATATTTTTTTATACAGGGTGCTGCTGTTGTAGCTGCTGGAACAAAAACAATATGTTTTTGCGACAAGCTCCAGTATGTTTAGATTCAAAACCGATGCTGCTGATAAAAAATTCTCTGTATATTGTGCAATTATGTTACAATGTAGTTAAATGCACACAAGTGTCGTTTAAAAACATTACATAAACGAGGTCAGGCCCAACCAATGAAAAATTAAAGAAAGGTTATTTTCCAGGCACATGCTGGTTATAACTAATTAAAAATTTAGAATATAAGAGGAAAAATCGAATTTTAGAAACAGTATATGTATGATTAAGCTATATAAAGTGTTACAAGTGATGAGTGGAAATATATGGTATTGTAAGAAATCCAATTTTATTAAAATATTCATTCGCAATAATTTTGGAGATTTTCGAAATATCGACGAAGGAAATTCTCAAGAAGAAATTTTTGAAGAGGCCATTGTTGAATTTTGTTGCAGTTGTAGTAGCCAAATTAATCCTGTCGATTGGTTGGAAATAATTGAACATCATACAATTATTTGTTACCATCCATCCATAGTTAAACCTGAAGAAGTTTTAAAAGAAGAGTACGTCGAACAGTTATACTGTGTACATTGCAAGCAACGGTACATACAGTAGTACGTAAAGATCGAAGATTGCAATTCTTGTCTCTCATAATACACAAACGAGGTATTAGCAGCAGAATTTCTTACTAATGGCGGAAATAAAGACGAAACCGATTGTTGTAACGTAAAAGATACTTTAAATTTAATTTAAGAAATATGGCAGACTCCGATGGAATTGTGGACTCTGTTGAAGAACTGTTCGAAGAAATGGCTGCTACAATTTGGACACCCGATATTACCATTAATGAGGATTTTGAGGAAGATCCTGGAGAATTTGGAATCTGGGAACCAAGAAGAACCAAATTCGTAGACCTTACTGGAGCTCGTTTCAGAAAAAGATTTTGCCACGACGTCATTCCCGTCGGAGATTACCAACAAGGCTTTGATCTGGTTAGCCAATTGGCAAACCAGCGATACTACGAACAACTCCTCATCATCAGTTATCATGAAAGCGCCGAATGGAACCATCTTCACATCGTCCACGATTGCGAATGGACAGCAGGAACCTGCCGATGCTGTATATTCCAGGGAGTCAGATTTCTTAAAAGAAAACGACTAGCCTAGTGGAGCGGAGAGTTGCGAGGAGGGAAATAAAATATATTTCTATATTGTTATGGGGATGTTTTTTTTTTTTTGTGAAATATATAGCACTACGTTGTGACGTTATAAAATTGTAATGAGCTTTAAATAATTTAAATCACGAATCATCATCCACCATACAAATACTTAATGCTCCGGCTGAAATGTTATCTAATGCAATTAATGAAACGATATGACTCAATTCTTTTAACTAATTGGTTTAAAAATTTTCATCCATGTATTTAAGACACTTACCTCTGAACCTCGTATATTGTCAGCTCTTGTATAGAAATAAAAATAAGTAAAAGTTTGAGACTCTTTGTATAACTTGTAGTTTTATTTAAAATAATTGATATCAGGGCTTAGTGCGAGTTCAAAAATTCTTTGTAACTAATGTGGGAAAAAAGAAACAGAATATTGTTACATAAATGTAAAAATTAACATAGAAACAAAAATAATAAAATAATTCGTCATTTAACGATCGATTCTTGGATCGAAAATATAACAGAAGGATATTACAAGTACCTGGGGGAAATGGAGGCCTTGCGTCTTGTATGCCAATGCATACTTCCTGGAACTCTTCTTCGGGCAGTTTTACATAATATTGCGTGGGTAAGTTAAATTTAATATTACCTTTGACATTTATACACTAGTTAATCGTTTATACATAAACATTGAAGATTTAATATTTCTGTCTCTTTATTTTTAGGAAAAAGGAGTTTGGAGAGGAAATTCGAAGGAAAAAATGTTTGTGTCCTTCCTTTTTCGTTACTTTTCTAGCACTCTCTTTTGTTTCATCAACAAAAATTCTGATTTGGATTTTTGAATCAAGTTGGATGAAAAAGTAATTAGCCAATCAAAATTCTGACAGTTTAGTTACATCTTTAAAATTAGATTATTGGATTTTTAAAGGTGAGTTTATTTAAACGGCTTATTTCATAATTTCGATGATAATTTATCGTTCATTAATTAATAGGTTATTTTGAAATCCGTGTTGTAATTTTTTTACAAATTTACATTTTAAAAATTATAATTTTCGTGTGGTAACATTGTCTCACTACATTTAGTTACTTTTGATCTTGTCAAATTTATCACTATACAGGGTGTAGTCTAAATACTTAGATGAAACTTTTTTAAATTTATTTCTTTGAAGACTTTTTATCATTAACTTGATATTCTTGGGATTCCGTGTTTCATTATAATATATTTAAATTTGGCATGTTGTTCATTCTAGGTTTAGTAATAGAATTTATTTTATTTACAGAATATTTCCAAAATCTCGGAATTTATGTTTCTACAACCCCGAATCTGTACCTGGTCCAAATGAAATTGATTCTATTGAAGGAAGCCAAGAAGGTGGTCAAGGAACAAATTTGGACCAAGATGACGAAATCTGTGCAGTTCGTAGTGACGCCGTTGATGGTGGAGAGAAATCGGAATCTACAAAATCTACCAAAGGACGTAAGGGAAAAAATTGCCGCAGGATTCTGTAGATAAACGAATTTTAATATGGGACGAACCGAATTGCGAACCGTCAGCTTATGATACATGTAAAATGTTATTTGCGGGAGACCCCTGTATGGCGAATATAAAATATCAATCACATGTTCAAATAGATAAAACTCCGGTGATTGTAACGACAAATGTGGAGGTCTTTCCAAATAACGATATTTTTAATAATCCCATGTATAGATTTACTTGGGATAATTGTACTTTATTATCTAATTTTACTAAATATTTGCATCCATTAGCATTGTATAAATTATGGAAATTGTATAGAATAATTAATGAATAAATTTATTACATTGTAACATTTTATTTTAATAAATATACATATACTCAATCACTGTTATTATAATGACCCTGTCAATTTTCACAATAATGTCCACCGACATGATTCTGAGAAAGGAAATAATTTTGATTAACTTGTTTAGTCGCTGATGGGAATCCTAATTTATTTGCGTACATTCCATCGGCATATATTAGGTCGGTACGAATACCGATGACACATGATGCGCGAATTTCATATTCCGAGGAAGCATTTACCCAATTTTAATTGGCATCGGCAGGTGCATTAGATTGTACCGGTTCAATGCCAATAGGAACTTGAGGTTGAGATATCGTATGTGACTTGTTGTTCGGGTGTCCAGTCATAAAATTCTTTTCGATTATATTTTCGTAATCAAATTTTTGCTTGTCTTTTTCTCTACAAGGTTCGAAGCTCATATGAGTATTTTGGAAATTGTTATCTACCAAAAACTGACTATATTTTACTCCAATGTCGAGCCTTTCGGAAAGTAATTTCAATTTATTCGTTACCACGGACGAGTTGTAAACATGCTTTAAAATGCCATTTCTGGGTTTATACGTGTACTTTACGCATGGAGTATTGATATGTTCATTGAGATTATACCTTTCGACAATTCTGTCCAAACGAGGCCATCCAGTTTTGATGTAATAACTATTGGTCGACCCATTGCCCGTACACATAAGCACGGCATAGGCGACTGGAGCTCTGTTTGCAGGACTGGGACACTTTAATTCCTCTATTTCTGCTAGCCTACCGAAGTTTTCAACATGAAACGACCAGTTATACCCTATCCATAATGATCACCGGAAGGGAGATGCAACTGCCCCATGATCTTCTTTTTGGAAGGCAGCCTCCTGGTGAAGAAGAGATGCGTACTCCTCCCACGTACATACAGAACTTAAAAGAAAGATTAGAGAGGGTATACGAATTTGCTGGGCAACGTTTTAAAGTTAATAGTTATAAAGCAAAAGCTAGAATCGACATGAATGCCACAGGGACACATTCTGAGAGAGGCGATCCAGTGTGGCTGTACAATCCCAAGCGAAAAAGGCTTTGTCAGAAACGGAACTGGGAAGGCCCCTATACCTGATCTACCGCATTCAGTTGTCAGCGCCATATCGTGGTCCAGATCCTCCTCGTTGGCTCCATTTAGGTCCCAGTAATCAAGTTATTCGGGGCGAATAACTAGAAAAGAGGGAGCAATGTTACGCAGCACCCTGCAGCGTACTGCGGTCGTAATAAGTAAAGGTACAAGTAAAAGAAGAAGGGAAAATATTCAAGAAATATCATTCCACGTCAAGAAAAATCTGGACATTTCGAGAAGGTTAAAGCAAGGCTATATAAGTCAGTGATCCACGGGTTAGAATCTGACGTCAGTTAGTCAGTTTTATGATAGACGTTATACATTAATGTTATCAGTTGTAAAGTTATTGAAAAAGTTCAGTTGAAATAAATTGAGATACCAAAAACCTGCGTAGCAATGTATATTTATGTACCTACCTATATAACCAGTTACAAAAAGTCATAATTTCTATAACCAGTAAATAATTACGGGACGAGCAAAGCGAGGTCCCTTAAAAAAACGACTTACACAAAACGGCATTTCGTAACAGGTGACATAAATTTTTTTCTAATTTATACCAAATTATTAAAAAAATTATGTTTGGTAAAAAATTACCTAAAACTACCTGAACATTAATTTTTGTATGTTGTCATTTTTGTATGTTGTCATTTTTGTTTTTGAATATTTTATATATTTGTGATACATATTTTCCAATATTATTAAGAAAAAATAATGGCAATATTTCAAAAATGACTTATAGGGCCGCGATTCCCCACCTTTACCGTATATAGTACAAATGTTTACTATATTTGAAGAGCACACAACTAAAACGATGAAAGTTACTTTTTTTCAAAAATGATAAAATAGCCAAGAGTCTGTAGTATATGCTAAACAGGTTTACACAGCAATAAATCTCATGGTTATGGAGTTATTTCAGAAACAAAAAATGGTGTATACAGAAAAAACGATGAATGTCACGGCCAAATACAGTAGAAAAAGTATGCGACATAGGCGAAGAAGAACAAGAACAAAGACAACGTTTTTCATATGATATTATCCAATAAATGTGGCACAAAATGGCTACTAACTCATTTTTCTTAATATTCCTGCCCTAAGTGTATTTTGGAGTCAAAACTTAAAATTTAATTTACAAAGAATTTACTTTTAATGACCTTTATCGTTTTTGCTTTGGACTTTCCATTTAATCTTTATTTACCCATTGATTTATATAAAAATGTTTTAAACCAGAAAAAGTTAACATAAATCGAGTACAGTAACTTCTAAAACTAGCCTTACCTATTGAAAAAGCCAGCATGAAAAGAAAACAAAAAGACTGCTGGTGCTATTATCACAGAATAATACCCACCAAATAACTTTTTAATTGGGTGATATTGAAGGAATGGTTCTGGTAGAATTACTTCTAAATCAATGACGGTATTAGGATACAGATGATGGCTTAACACATGACTTATCCTCCAGTCTCTAAAAAAAAATAATAATTAAATTAAGAATGAAAGCCCATCATCCATTATTAATTTATAATAGGAAGAAGCGCCAAGCAAAGAAAATAAAATATAGGCAACCAACATTGCATTGCATTTTATATAATACATAATAAAATACAAACCTTACTTGGAACATTGAAAATTGAAAGTACAGCATCCTAAAACTATCTTTTCTATGGATATAATTATGTCCAGCTCCAGTTAGTAACCCCAAAATTACTCCAGCTATCACGGCTGAAGTATAACTCCAATACCGCACTGATAATATTGAAAATAATATTAGTCCCGCAAAAAGTGCGTCGCTGTACATATCTGAGGTGTTGTAGTCATCTTTTGGGACATTCTTTAGGGTCTTTCGAATTTCCTTTTTTAGTGTTTTGTAGAAACCGTTTTCTTCGAAGGTAAATGGAATGTTTCGTTTTGTTTTTGCTTTTCTTACGAAGTACTTGCTTAGAAGTTGCTCTGGAAGTTGAGATATGTGGTGACTTTCAAAAGCTTCGGATATATCTGTACCCTAAAACGACCGGTAAGTTTAATCGGTAATAATATGAATTGATCCACAAAAAAAATAATATTTATAAATTTAGCCTCTAAAAAATTGAAAAGGGATAGTTTAGATTTAATTTAGAGCCGTGTCTAGTTATCAAGAACATGTGGTGCGTATCATAGCTAGGGAGGATTCGAATCAAATGGTCCGAATTCGAAGAAGTATTCCAAAAGGATTCGTATTTGAGTCACCAATATTAGGATTGAATCGTTCTAAAGACCAAATAAGACGGTGCGATAAGCCGAATCAAGTTTTGAGTTGTAACGAAGTGTAAAGAAAAACAAACTGAGACTGACAACTGAAGACTGTGAATGTCAAATTTATGTTTGCTTTGTAGAGTATCGCAGTTAGTAGTTATAGTATAAGAATTTTTATTTGAGGATGTCATCTACGAAATATGCGTTATTGCCGGCCGACTGCAATGCAATTCGCAGGTGAATTACTCTCAAATAAAAATTGTTATACTATACTTAAGCTTCATTCGTGGTAAGAATCCTGAAGCGAATTATAACTAAAGCTAACAATTTCGCATGCGCAGTAGTTAAAAAGCGATCGCGCGGTAAAATTCAGAACTGATAATGAATCGAGCATCCGCTCAAAGTATGAATTAGTAGTTCTAAATTAGTTCAGGATTCTTACCGCAAACGAAGCTATAGTTACAAACGATTACAGAATCTGGAAATGATTCCGGTATAGGACTATAAACAATACGAGTGTAAAGCTACAGATAATTAAGTTGAAATAAAGAAAATATATTAAAAAGGAAAGTAAATAAATTTTATTCATAAAGCAGAGGAAAGCAGAGGTAGATAAAGTAGAGTGAAAAAGCCACATACTTAAGAAAGACGTCCGACACATCCAATATAGGGCGCGGCCATTTTGATGTAAACAGTACTAGGTTAGGCAACACATATTTACCCAAAACGTTAAACTGATAGCCTACATCTTGATATTTTGAGATTTTAAATCAAGGCAACAAATGTAGAAAAACGTTTTTTTATTTTAAATAATATACAAGAAACTTCTTTAAAGTAAAGTTATAATTAAGAGTGCATCTTGAAGTAGAGGTGAGTGGTTTAAAATTATTTTTAAAGTTATGTATATGATTTTAACTTAATATTATATTTTTCGCCAGTCCCATGCCCATGAACAAACATCGTCATCAACTACTAAGGGGGAATCTTACCAAGGCATCAGAATTAATTTTGAATAATTAAATTAAATAAAAAAATCCCGGCCAAAAGTGAGATTCGAACCTGGGACCCTTGGATCCGCAGGCAGACACTACCACTGAGCCACGCACCCACCCCACGAACAAATATTTATTTTATTTTTGTCATGATTGGGGATGGGGAAAATTTGCCTTATGTTTAATGTGCACCATTATTAATATAATAAAAATCTTTGAAGCTAAACAATCTAATATTATATTTTGCATTTTTACTTTCCTATCTGTATACAGATATGAGGAAAGTATAAGAATCATGATTTTTTCGACCTCGAGTTTTCGACGGATTTTTACGTTTTGAGGTCCCATGAATCCGTTTTGACTATTTTCGCGATGATGTCTATGTGTGTGTCTGTGTGTGTCTGTATGTGTTTGTATGTGTCTGTGTCTGTGTGTCTGTGTGTCTGTGTGTCTGTGTGTCTGTGTGTCTGTGTGTCTGTGTGTCTGTGTGTCTGTGTGTCTGTGTGTCTGTGTGTCTGTGTGTCTGTGAGTCTGTGTGTCTGTGTGTCTGTGTGTCTGTGTGTGTGTGCGTGTGCGTGTTCGTGTTTTATATCTATAAGTATCGAAAAATCCACAAACTGTGTACTAAAATCAACACTTGATTTATCTGGTTCAATACTTATATGATATAATTCGATTATTTGATGGAACTTATCTATTTTAAGTGGTTTAATTTTCAAAGACCACATGGCCCATAAACCAACCTCAAAAAGAAAGAGAAGGAAACAAGAGAGACAGATAGAACCTCAGGACCTAAGAAGATAAATGTCCTTGATTTGGGATGGCTAAACTGCCAATACTAATCCCAATTAACCTAATTACCCAAATTAAACAAAACAAAAGAATAGAAGAAGAAGAACTACCTCAAGGTCATGGTCAAGAGTTGACAGCATATAAATAAACAATATCGATACTATGTATAGGTTACTTTTAATAAATGGAAATGAAGACAATTAATTTTGTGTATTATTCACGAATTTATAAGTGAGTTTTTTATTTATTACTCGAAAATAGTGGAAAAGTAGCTATGATTTTTTGTTTCATCAAGTAGGTTTGACCATGTATTTCAACATTAAAATATTTTTGGACGAGCTATCACGTCCTGAAGTCCTGCGCATATATTATGAAACACCCTGTATATCTGTTATTTACGTTTGGAGAAGAAAATGTTTCAAATAAAAGTTACTTCTAATATTATTATCTATAATTTTTGTTCTATACAAAATTTTCCTAAAATGGTCCGTATTCGAGAAATTTGACTTTGCTCATCACTATTTTGAGATTTTTTTGTAGATTGGAATTCATATGAGTATATAGTTATAAAAAGAAAATTATGACTTATTGACTATACATTTGAAAGAATTTTATTTTTATTGTAGAAAAAACTCAAAACCTGAAATAATAAATAATTAATTAATTTACATCTACAGTCACAAATTAAAATTAAATTACGTTCCAGTAACTTTGGTTATTATTTCACGTTTTATAATTATGATAATTGCGAATTACGTCAAGAGAAAAATAAATACTTTGGTTAATAAATAATTGTTTACTAGTAACATGTTAGGGTTTTTCAGAAATTAGAATATTAATTGTAACCAGTATTTCTTAAACCTATATTAATTAAATTAAAATTGTTGAATGACTTAAGACGATTATTAAAAAAATCATTCTCTGCTTACATTTCATTCTATAATTATTAAATAAAAAAAGAAATGACAGTTACATATCTGACTAGTTTCGGCTATTAATTCTGCAGTAATTTTAATTCTATAAATCTGAGATTTAGAACAAAAAGTAGTTTGGTTAATGGTTAAAATAATGATACTTATTTCTGGGGCCCTTGTATATTATTAAATTTTATTTTATTTATCGTATTTTATTTTGTTTAACATCTTTATATGTAATAAATATTGTATTATTCTTCAAAAAAATAAAAATAGTTTTTTCAAGTTTTTTACCTACATTCCACTCAACTACATAACCTTATTCCAAATCCAATAGGTTTTAAAGTTTAAACCATTATAAAGTTTATTGCACGCCATATAGGTTAGTATTTCATGATTTATTTTTTTATAATAATAATAATTTATTTTCCACAAAAAAATATAAATATATGAACAGATTTACAATAGTAATTTTAAATAGTTGCGGAAAATAAACTGAGCACCCACTGAAATCTCAAGGAGAGATTTGTGCGTGAGTTTTGCATTTACTTTAAGGAACTATTTTTAATATTTTATTCTTAAGCCCTAATTCAAAACAAAACAAAAATTCTAGATAGACAACTTAAACTAACAGAGAAAACAGAAAAAAGTATATATGGAAGAAAGTTAATATACGTAATACCTGTTTATTTAGTGAGTAGGTAGTTTTCTTTTTAACGTTTTTTTTTAACCATTTTTTAACAATTTTTTAACAATTTTTTTTTTATTTTTTTTTAACAATTTTTTTTACATATTTGTTTTATTTTTTTTAACATGGTATTTAATATCTATTTTTTTACATAGCTTTTTAATTTTTTTTATGTTCGTTTTTTATAAATAACCCAGTGCTAGTTAAGAAGGTGAGTAAGACATAAAATAAGGTAATTTAATTTTCAATTATTTTTTTAATTTCTGATTTGGGCAGTGTACTCATAAAGTTCTTTACTTTGTTTTTAAAAAGGTGTGTTTTCTTAATTTGTCTTATATAGGGGTCTATTCTGTAACAATTCCTTTATATTTAACGGCCTTTAAAAATATTGGCGGCCTTTAAAAGTATATTTGTATTCGTTAATTTACATGTTATTATTTAAACAGATTTCTTTAAGATAGTCCTCTAATGTATTTTAAAGATCCGTTTAAATAATGACAGAAGTAAAGAAGAAAATATTTTTAAAGGCCGTTAAATATAAAGGAATTGTTACAGAATAGACCCCAATGGGGGTCAGACCCTCCCCCATAGAGGGTCCTCGTGTCACTATTTGTGCTATAGAATTGGCGCTGATCGCTATTAACTATTTGTTTTTATTCACTTTCTTGATGGAACCCCTCCATAGTTCTCAAAACCTCTCCGATAAAAAATGGCTAGCTACGCCACTGAATACAGCACTGAATTCATCTTTGTACAAGAGACAGAAGATCCAAAAAAGAGTGGCATAAAGGAATGAAAAACAGAGCATGTATAATAGCGAGAATATAATTAATCTACTTCACAAAGTGGATTTAAAATGCTCAAGATTGAACTGCAACAATAATTATGATGATGATGATAACGACAATGATGATGATAATAATGATGAAGAAAATTAAAGATATTTTCAGAGACAAGGATTCTTCTATTTCCTTCTTATCCTTTAATCATGTACTCAAATTAGCATTTTATACTCGTATATTTACAACATTTAAGGCAAATGAAATATCACAGGTTCAAGTTCTCTATCATTTTTTTCAACCTTTAGTAGTTTAGGAATTAATTTCTAATTTTGCACCTACTTTAAATTAATTTGTATAAAAGTCTTACTAACTTTGGTTAGTCCAAGCCATTCAGAACCTCCAGGATGTTCTTGAACAAAACTTTCAAAATTGTATAGCCCATCGTGGATTCTCCATAAACCTTCGGCTCCATCTGTCTCTCTCCTTTCTTCTAACCATAAATCAGTGGTCATTAGTGAACCTAAAAATCTGCTACGAGGAGGGACAATGCCTAAGGATGATTTAGGCACATAATCTGGTGGCAACATCTGAAAATAAATGAAATAGTTGATCAGAATGAAACGATTTTGAGATTTTTTTTATTATAGATTTCTTGTATTACTGGAATAAATGCTCGAGTTGACCTGCATAAATATTGTTTGTTGAATTTAATAACTGCTATAATTATATTAAAAAAGAAACCTACTTATATCCTAATTAATTCTAATTATTATTAAATATTTCGCTAATGTATACGCTTCTACATATAATTTAATACCAACGATTTTGTATGATTATTTTTCCCCATAGTCAATTATCATACTGGGTGGGGTCTTTCAGAAGTAATAAATATAGTTGGGAAGTTAGCATGATATATCAGTTATGTTTCGCTTATAGAAGTAATTCGGCTTCCGAGAATATCAAGAACTTCTTCTTCTACTTTCCTTCTTTTAATACTTGCACCGAATCGTGGGATGCACCTGGGATTTCTCCCCCAGAGTCATCATATGGACTTACATGGTCATCATAAAACCTACGCTAAAATACGGTGTAGTTGTCTGGGTATCGAAAACCCATAAATTGACAGTTATCAGCAAACTAGAATAAATTCAAAGAAGAGCATGTCTCAACATAACAGAAGCCATAAAAACCACACCAACCAAAGCCATGGAAGTCATTCTTAGTCTCACTCCCTTTCATATTTACATCAAGGAGGTTGTTCTGATGACAATGATATGCCTCAGCATCATTCTAACAGAACCTGATGTAGGATTTGGTGAAGCAAGATGTCGCTTTTGGCCGGAAGCGCCCAATACGCTCCCACTGCTTCAAGCGAACATGGACTCCATCTCACCGAGATATATCTTCCATAAGCTATATAAAGTTATAACAGAACAAATAGATAGCTATACCGATGGTTCTAAAACAAAACAAGGCAAAAGATGTGGAATATACTCCAGATCATTAAACCTAAACAAAAAATGAGCTGTGAGCAATAATGCTAGTGTAGTTCAAACTGAGTTCACTGGGAAACAAGCACCAGAAACAATATCACTGGAAGAAACATGCTCATCTATACATATAGCAGACCAGCACTACTCATCCTGAACATACCACGAATTTACTCAAGGTTACTTCTAGAATGTCATGAAGCTTAGGCTGTAGTATCCATTAACAATGTGGTCACCTTAAGATGGATCAAAATCGCTAATTTACTAGCTAAGAAGGCAGCCAACCAAATAATTTTTTGACCTGCCTAGACAGGTCACATATTCCAATGGACATCCACTTTAGATCATTTAAGGGCCAAAATGTCCATATCACATTCAGACGTCCAGTGTGCATCCGTTAACGATCATTAATTTGACAGTTACATATCGATACCCAGGACATCTGTTTTTGGACTTAATTTTAAATTTGGTAGTATTTTGACGTCCAGTGGACGTCCATCTTGTATCGTTATTTATTTAGCCTACCAGATAATACCCATCTATATACACTATTTTTATAATATAATTGATCATTAAAAATTAACAAATTAAATCTATTGCATTTTATTCTATCAGCGAAAGTTTAAAATCTTATTCTATTATAACCATATCTAGTAAAACGTTTTCAAGCGACTCCTTGGTCGAGATAGTCTAGCGGTTGAAAGAGTAGAACGATAATGTACGTGTGGTGAGTTTGATTCCTGCTCAGTTCAAGAGATTTTTAATAATAATAAAAAAAGAAATGGTGTATAACGGTTTGCGAAAATAATAAATAAATTATTAATAATATAAAATAGTGTGTGGTTAGTAGCAACTGATTGTCAACAATTCAACATTGTCCATGATAATGGCTTTAAAAATTTTGTACACTTGGTCGATTCTAAATATGTTCTGCCCAGTATATTTACAATTAGAGAAAAAAATATGAGGCAAATGTATAGTGAATGTTCCAAGACACTTAAATATATTTTAAAAGATGTTAAATACGTTGCAAACACTTGCGATTCCTGGACATCTAGAGCAATTGAGTCCTACCTGATTGTAACCTGTAATTTTGTGACATCTGATTTTAAATTAAACTGTGCAGTTTTGTCGACAAAACCATTGGAGACAATATTTCAAATACATTGAATGAATTTTTTGTGGACACCAAAATATCTTGTATTGTAACAGATAATGCAGCGAATATGATTAAAGTTTGTGAACTTTATAAAAAACATCTTCCCTGCTTCGCTCACAGAATCAATTTGATTATCCAAGAAACTCTTTGTGTAAATCCACTGAAAAAATTTAAACAAAATGCAAAAAATTTGTCAGATATATTAAAAGTAATAACGTCGCCACTAAAATATCCAACAAAGAGCAGAACACTGACAATCCTTACAAGCTTATCCAAGAAGTAGTAATTTGTTGGAACTGCGCCTTCCACATAATTATAAGACTTTTAGAGATAAGTGATGCACTTAACGGAACTTTGCTGAAAATTAATAAAGCTCCTTAGCCATTGGCTGCACAAGAAATAATGGTTTTATAAGAAGTTGTTACTATTTAAGCATGTTTTGATGAGGCAACTTTAAAAATATCTGGTTCAAAATATTTGACTATTTCTCTCATATTATTCAAGGAATTTACAGAACATTGTCAACCAAAAGACCACTGTTGAAAACAGATAAGTGAAGATATTTGTATGAGATTGCTGGATTCCATTCAAAAACGTTTGATTCCATATGAAAAAAGAACAGCGACACAGATGGGGACGATACTTGATCCAAGATTTAAGCAAGATGGTTTTAGAAGTGATGAGAAAGTTCACTTAAGGTCAGTCACTTAGTGCCGCTCTTATTTTGACATCTGAGCATGCGCAGATCACTAACTTTAATAAAGATTGTGCAACCCTTAATAGAGAGATATTGCAAATTTCTATAAAGCCAGCCACTAATAGTGACATCGTAGTTAGAGTCAAATAAATTCTATAATAGTACCTAATATTAAAGAGGCATTAGAAATTATAATTTTAGAAGGTTTAAATGACGAGCGCATCCGAAAGCTATAAAGTGGCCACTACCTGCTGCCCTTAAACATCCACAATTAAGGACAGGCACAATCCTTAATAAAGTCAGTTTTAGAACATAAACATCTGCGCTTGCTTAGATTTCAAAATAAGAGCGGCACTAATAGTGACTGACCCTAAGTGAACTTGCAATAACTCTCTTATTATGGACAGGCACAATCTTTAATAAAGTTAGTGATCTACGCATGCTCAGATGTCAAAATAAGAGCGGCACTAATAGTGACTGACCTTAAGTGAACTTGCAATAACTCTGTATTAAATCCGCGTCACTTTTTTTAAAACAAAAATGCCATTTTATTGAAAAAAAAAGGAAACAGAAACTACATTATATTCAAGTATGATATTAGAGGACATTGACAGTCCAAGCACTAGCTCTTTTTTGGGTTCATCAAGTCACTGTTTTCATTCATTTAGAAAAAAATGTAACAGAAGATTAAATCCACAACAATTGATATCATAATAAAGAAAAGGCAATATATGGAGTATCAGAATACAAAAACAGACTCAGGTCCACTTCTTTTTTGGAATGTAGGGTATTGTTGCTTCACTAGTTTTTGCTTTTTTTATTCAGTTTTGTTGTTTTAGGTGAATGCAAATGATTTCAGATCTATGCAGTTACTGGCCCAGAAATATCTCTGCATTTCGGCTTTCTCTGTAGACTCTGGAAGAACATTCAGTACGGCTGGATAAATCGTACTGAAACAATTGCAAGGCTGTAAGTCAAAAATGTTGATATGCTGGTATTTCTTAACAAAAACAGATGCAGGTAAGTAAATTAATAAAAATTAATTGCATCGTGCGTTCGATATAAAAATAAACAAATTTTACTATATTTGTAGTTTTTAGGACCTATAAGTGATGTTAGAATATAGGATATCCCAAATATTAATTGCCAGTGTGAATTTATTAATATGGTTAATACTAATGGCGGATTAAAACTAAAATACAGTGTTACCAGAATTACATACACGCTTTCTATGAAAAAAATCTTGTAAGGCTAGAAATTGACCTGGAAGAACTAGAAAATTAACTAAAGAAGGACGAAAACTACAAAATGGTGGTAAGTAATTAACAAAAATATATTTAAACTTTCCCTAAACACAATAATCATTTATGTAACTCTTGTTTTTGTTAGTGGAATACCATGTACAATTTTTAATGTTTTACGTTCGACAAAATATTTAAAATATTCCATTAGCTATGTACACTTAATTTGTATATGTACCAAGTTTGTTGATTTTTTTTATTTTTTAGGTTCAATGAAGATCCAATGGAATCAAGCAAATGAAACTCAAGCCATTGATACAATAAAATATTGGTTGGTTAAGGCCAAAGAAAGAATTCGTAATAAAAATAAGAATAAGTATAAATTTTTTGAAATAAAGATTTAAAAAATGGTCAAGACTTTCATTATATACACTTATTCTTTAATGTTCAATATTAATGAAACATCCTGTATTAGAGTGCCTAGTATATGCCTAGCATATGCTATATTTAAATATTTAGCATATACTTAGAACGTACTATCAAATTAAAGTGGATACCTATTGCATACTGTACACATACAGTATCTGCATAGCACGTAAAAACAACGTCACGTAACATATGCTTAGTATATTCTGAGAACGTATTAAATGCAAATAAAGTATATTCTCAGCATATGCGTATTCTTAAAAAGTATATACTAAGAATATGCTAAGAATGTATAATTGTTATCTGGGTGGTTAAAACATATTTGTAAGTTTGTTTAGTGCCTAAATGCTTTGCTAATATAGGTTTAAGAAGCGTTAAATATACAGGGTGTCCCATTTTCAGAACGATCGTATGCTTAGTCTAGTTTTCCACAAACGTCTAGGGTACCATCCACCATGGAACTCTTTCTATTATGGTACATAACAGAACTAGGTACGGAAACAAAGGTTTGATTTTTTCCCAAATAACCACAGAAAACTGCATTTCTAGAACTAGCTTTGGAACTAGTGCGCATATAGGTATGCGCACTAGTTTTGGAATTGCAGTTCTCTGTGGTTCTATAGGAAAAGAAAACAAAGCTATAGAAGAAATACTTTCGCAACCAAATCGGCTAGTATCAGCTAACACCGGACGATATAAGAGAAGTGTACTTCTTGGCGACGTTGTCAATGATTCGAGTTAGATCATAAATACAAAAGTTTGTATTGGATGAATACCTACATATTTTTTACTCATTTATTGATTGACAATTATTTCTCTTAAAATTGTTCACAATCATCTGCTATGTTCAAAGAACTATACTAATTAGACAATCTCCGCTCTAAAGTGAATTACATAATGTAATTATCAATGTAAATTATCAACAAACCAAAAGGAAGTAGAACCTGAAACCATTCATTGATTTTAAAGCTTTCTGTTTTCTTTTCCCAGATAACACAAATACGTCTTATGGGCGTTCTTAAAACATCCTGCTTGGACATTCAGGACATCCTTAAAGTGTCTAATTCACGGACGTGGACATCTTATGGACGTATTTGGAACGTCCATCGTTAATAATCAGGGTGTTTTAGAACGTCCATTTAAGAACATTCCATGGACATTTTCAAAAGCTCAAATGGGGAATAACAGGATGTTTAAGGAAATTAGTGAAAATAATGAATAATTTAAAAAAAAATTATTTCGAAGCAAAAAACCGATGAATAATAAAATTATTAAAACTTTTGTAAATTTAGAATTTTGAAGAAAACTCAAAAACTGATAAAGAGAAAAACACCAAATTTTAAACTTAACTTTTATTCTGGCTCGCGGTAAACTGAATAGATTTTTGGCAGAGCCGGAACATCTGGGGGAACCTTTTAAGGGACGTTTTTATATTTTATGGAATATATTTGTTATTTACGTTAGGAAAAGAAAATTCTTCAAATAAAAGTTACTTGTAATATTATTCTCTATAATTTTTGTTCTATACAAAATTTTCGTAAAATGATCCGTAATCGTGAAATTTGGCAAAATGTACAAAATTCTGATTTTCAAGAAAATTGTTAAACTAAAGAATTTAGTTTATCTTCTATATATTTACAAAGGTGTTACAATAGGTTGTACAAAAGAACTGGAAAAAGCCTGTAATAACTAGATAGGAAAGTCATGTGTTAGACACATCAGCTTTTTATTTTACTAGTAGTATGCTTTTAATAGATTATTCATTAAAACTACTACTATATTTATATTACTTATGTGAAAAAAGCACCTCAGGTACATTGATATGAATTTGAACCATAATATTTTTTAGTATAACCTAAGTATCTCTAGAAATACATTCACACAAATTCTTACTTTCTATTTTGCTGCCTCGATACATTATGAATCGCACATAAGGAATTGTTAAATGGTGAATGACACCGTGAAAAATAAAAATGTTCTACAAGAGACTGAATAATTTAAATACATTTTAACCATGTATAGCTAAAATACTTATATTAAAAAAAATGTACATACCTTCAATAAATAACATCAACAAATATGTTCGCACTGCTATTGTACTCTGGCTTGACCTAAAGACAATAGAATTGATACGAATTCCAGTTTTTACCGCACTAAGTAATAACTCATTATTATTTAACATGCAACTTATTCAACAACAATATGCTAACATATCTAATGTTGATTGAACAGTTACTGGAAGAATATTCATGAGTTAATGGAAGCAGAAAATTAAGAGGACTAATGACAGTCGGATGTTTTAATATTTGGGAATCGTACTCGAACAAAACTGGTCTTAATTAATAGAATATTATTATCAAATTATCGTTAGTGCACATGTCATTATCAAATTAAGGTCATTTTTATGCATTATAGCGCAAAAATATTTTAGGTACAATATTTACAACATTTATTTATTACTGTGGGCAAGTTTTTAAAGTCGACGTAAAATTCATCAATGAAATTCATATTGACGAGCACTGATGAACCCGATGGAATGAAATAAAACAAAAATCATAAGATACTTACGATTACTTACTGACCACTAACGTTATTTAAAATATTGTAATTTATTAATAAATCTGTATATTTACTAAAAACAATGTTTATGTTAATAAATATGTTATAATAAAGTAATAAGAATTGTGATAAGTGATATTTATTTATGGCTACACTATCTCAATTGGAATTATTGTTATCGTGGAAACTTACTTTGTATTGTAATCGAAGACAGAGCTATGTCTAACTATTACATATTATGTCCCTTTTAAAATTCGTTTCATATAAACCGTTGATTTTTATTTTTTAAATATTAAATTTTTAATCTTTTTAAATTTTAGTTTTATTTAAATATAGTTTGACCTTGTATTTATAGAAATATTTTATTTATATAAATAAAAGAATTAATTATGCATATGAAGATACCTATAAGCAGAAAGTATACGTTGCTGAGATGAGGATACTGCGGTGTACCGGCGAAATCAGAAGGCAGGACAAAACTAGAAATGAACGTATAAAGATCAGCTTTGGCATTTCATCTTTAGGTGCGAATATAATAGATAAATGGGTCTATTCTGTAAAAATTTCTTTATATTTAACGGCCTTTAAAAATATTTTCTTCTTTAATTCGGTCACTATTTAAACGGATCTTTAATATACATTAGAGGACTATCTTAAAGAAATCTGTTTAAATAATGATAGAAGTAAATTAACGAATACAAACATATTTTTATAGGCCGCCAATATTTTTAAAGGCCGTTAAATATAAAGGAATTGTTACAGAATAGACCCCATAATCAGTTAGGTAGTTAGAGCATATTCAGAACAGATCAGAAGAACACCGTTCTACAAAAAAAGGGATGACTGCATGTTGAGAGAAGATGTAAAAAAGCTCAGACCAAAGTTAGAAACTGTTAATAGTGATGAGGAAATGAAACAAAATAGGAAAAAGCGAAGAAAAATATACACATGGGTGGCCCCACCAAAAGGTAAAAGTTGAGCAGGTGGTGATCTAAAGGGATACGGTGAACTTACTAATATTATAATCTGATGAAAAGCAAGTTCAATTAATAGTTCTGTTAAAAATTAAACTATTTGTAGTTGAGGTTTTAATATTACCCTATTATTGTCTCAGATCATCGTAAGATGTTCTAATAAAAGTGTATGGATTTGTAAAATAAGTGAAAAGATCAATGTATTATTATTATTATATATTTTTAATGCTTCAGCAAAAAAAAAGTGTAATCAATAAAAAAAAAATTAGAACATAGGCAGGTAACCGTATTGACAAGAAAATGTATGAGAAGTTGCCTAAGTCTAACGAGTTGTCATTGACGAATACAAAGCGGTATTCGTAGTTACACATTCTATGCCCACGCCGGCCCGTAAATATACAACCAGAAGACTAAGCGACGCCTTCTCGTAGGGTGGCCGCTTCGCCGCCCCCAGAAAATTTCAACCCATACCTACATCTGGCTACGCCGACCGGCATAGACTCCAAACCTGGACACAGCTCAAATTGTTGTATATTGATGAAACGAGTAGAAAAGTTTAATAATTACCATCAATAAAATCAAATAATTAGGTACATTCTTAGATAAAAGAAACAATAGATTATGCATTTCATTCCTAAAGTATGTTTTGTTTGGTCCCAATCATCGGAAAAGAGAAAGAAGATATTTTATGCGGATCGAAAGAAGACAGACTGTAATCGAAAATCTCGTCTGACAACGCTGCTGTTGTACGCAACTAAAAGTTTGTCGATACCAGTGGCGTATCTTATTAAAGATAAAATCATAAGTAATTATAAAAAAAATTATGAAATACTAACCTATATAGTGTGCAATGAACTTTATAATGAATTAAACTTTAACAGCCAGTTGCAAGAACGATTGTTAAAATCTCTCGTTAGCTAAAGAACAAATAACTAACTGAGATTAAAACTGGCAACGGCGCTTTTCCAACTGACAGTCTGTCGCTTCACAGCTGATCACGGGAGATTTTTAAAGTTTAAGTTAATTTGGTAATATTTTTTCGAAAACTAATTACAAATAAAGTAAAAAATATAATTGAGGCTCAACCTTTACGGCTATGGTTAAATGTTAACACTATCCCTATCTTTTTTCGACATCGGCTCATATTTTTTAATATACAAGGACAGTCCGTTCAGAGAAAAAATGTTTTACACATGAATATAATTTCTTAAAATAAATAGAATGGCTTAAATGAAGAAAAGGTTCCAAGAAGTCACTGGAAAAAGAGGAAAATACTCATTTAACTGCCCTTCTAGTAGTGCCCGATTAAAAATCTGTGATTTGTGGTTTAAAGCAACAGTATTTAAATATAGTTTGTCCCTTTTATATAAACCAAAACTATTTTTTCTTGTACTTACTTTACATTTTCTCTTCCCGTTTGTCATGGAAAAGCACATTTCTTTCTACTGTACATTATTTTTTCAAATAGAAGTACATAATTAAAAACATGTTTAAGTTTTTATCATGTGTGCAAACCCCATTTACTGTGGTAATATTTCCAATGTATTTTCAATTTTTAACAGACTTCAAAAAAAGAAGTAGATAGGTTCTCAATTCATCGGAATATATTTTTTTATGGATATTCAGCGACAATTCTTTACGATGTTGTCCGATTTCTGATTATTTTTTTGTTAGAAAGGGGGCTCCTCAGAGATGGTTTCATATATAAATTTGGTAAAGATCTGATGATGGGATTCATGAGAAAATAATCACTCTTCGTATTTTGTAGTCGTCAGTTTTTTTAAATTAATTTTGTAACTTATACATTTTTCAATGAATCAAAGTAAAAGACTGTTTAAATTGGGAAATTTCTAAAGTTCAGTATCTATTTTTTAGTTAAAAAATGAAAACTGGAGGAGAGTTGGTAAAATCTCTGGTATGAGAAATAAATTCACATTTGACCTATTCTTGAAAATCATATACAGTTCCTTTAATCCCTTCAATTTGGATGCTATATTTCTTTGCTAATAAACTAATGCTAGAATATATTTTTTATTTAAGAACAACTTTCTATTTGTACAATATTGGCATTTCTAGATTGTTGAGAAAATTAAATAATTATGATATGATAATTAGCTTTTATAGGTTGTGTAATAGTTGAAATTTAGAATATTAAATAATTGCTATGTAAATTACACTTATTTACCCTAATATATTTGCTTTCACATTTATAATTTACAGATTTGTAGGTCATAAATAAAACACCAAATTCATTTTAAAATTTTATTTTTTAGGATTAAATTAATATACACAAAATACATAACATAATAAAAAAATATAATAAATCTACAATAAATAAAAATACGTTTAATTTGCCCATCATTATTAAGAATTCTAATTCTAGAAAATAAACATTCAATTCAGGATTTCTTTTTGGTTATGACAGGTTTCAAGTTTACTAGTAATTTTGTGTTAAAATTTACAGTTTGCCTAACGTATTGGATATGTCTACTTAGCCAGTTCCACATATTTAATAAATGTATAAAAAGAAATGGATTATTTCAACATAGGTACAAACAATAAAAATGTTATTACTGATAGTAGTTTACTGCTAAATATTTACTTTTTCTGAAAATAGGCAGGAAAAAACTATAAAATAATATTAAATATGGTTGAGAATAATGAGAATGTATAAATACATAACATTTATACGAATTAAAAAGTTTTTAACAATATAAGTAGAGATACCAAGCTCCACAGTTATATAACTTAAAATTATTCATGCCATCATCTCATGAAATATTTTAAAATACTTAGCAAACACCTATATTACTACAAAGTAATGCCTATTTAAAAATAAAAATATATTGCTACAAGGCTATACCTCCGTCATAAGCCAAACCCCCATAACTGACAAATTACAAATATTTGAGGTTATTTGACCATTCTGATACTAACCCATTTTTCTTTTTAAAAAGTAAACAAAATACCAGCAATTTTTATTCTGTATCCTAAAAAGTCAACATGATTCTACAATGTAACTAACATTTTTCTAGAGAATTCTTATCAAAAATCAACCCAAAACATTAAATCACACTTATTTATATAACTAGTTAAAAACATTATTCAAAACTTGTCTTTAATTCAACAAAAGCAGCTATATTGGTAACACATATCAAAATACTGGCACTAATAAATTTATTTTATTGCATATATCTTCATTCTATAGTTTGTGTAGTTACTGGGGCAGTATAGATATTTAAAGTTTTATTTGTGAGCCAAGCCTGTCTTGTTTCAAGATTAGTGGTCCATACAACAATATTTTTAATTTTGTTGTGTTACAAAGTTTTCCTTTTTTAACTGTATGGTTTTGCTTGAGAGTCTGTGCAGGGGGACCGGAAGAGTCTGTGCAGGGGGACCGGAAGAGTCTACTTGGACCAGGCAAGGGTTTAGTCGGGTTTAGTAGATTCCTTGGGAGTGAAGAGACTACTAGGAGAAGCAGCTACGGAGACTCCACTGAAAAGAGGCATAATGTCAATTATTGATTCGTGCACCTACAGAATAATAAATAAATATATATTATTCTAGAGCTCTTAAAAGTATGTTCCGAAATATAATGATATAACAAAATTTATAGGAAATTCATCATTGAAGAAGTTATAACTCGAACCTACATAGAGATTCAACGATGATATTTAGCTGCAGTTAACTAGGACTCGTGTAATTATTTATTGCAATGCAAGAATCTAATTAAACCTACAGTTATACTTTACTAAAATATGTAAAAGTTCCCTTCAATTCCAAATTTGTCTTCATATTGCACTAATTTTCTTACCAACATACAAAGTATTTGTGATAATTATACAGGATGGTCCAAATTTGACAGGTTTATAAGATATTACTAAATTAGCAGGGGATAAAGCACATTTGATCTCACCTTTTTTTTAAACTAAACATGTTATTTTATATCCCGTTATAAATTCCTCCCCTAAGTAAAATGTAAGCGTGATTTTTAAAATATCATTATTTTGTTTGGGTGTTCAAATAAAAAATGGTAAATGGTATTACCTTGAAAATTTGTACCCCTTGAAAAAATAATAAGAGTATGACAATGGATTTTACATATGTAACTATGTCAAATTATTAAATTGTTTTTGAAAATAAGATATTTATTTGAGATAATAAATTATGATAAAATTAGAAAATCACCCTATAGCTTCTAAAATGGATTTATAACATAACTAAGCATTCCATGTTTTATTTCTCAAAAAAGTTGAGAATGGTGGGTCATAAGGTTTCGACATCTACCTAGTTGTATCATGTAAAAGCGTCGAATTTTGACCACCATGTATAATAAAACAGCTAAGTTTAAATAAAATAAATAAAATACTTTCTTACCAAAGAATGCAGCAGTGGAATCAATGGGGACTCTATTTGATTATAAAAAAATGCTTTAATTTGAGCCCATCTCATAAAGTTGAAGATTAACCATGCCTCCTTCTCGTTTTTCACCCTTAAACAAATAAGGAAAGAATTTAAATAAAGAAAAATAATACTAAACATTAGTTATTTCCAATTTTATTTTTTTTTTAACTTTAGTAGTTTGAATAATCTTTAAAATGGAAAAAGACAGATATTGCTAAAATTGTATAAATAATAACACATACAAAAGAAGTTTTATATTGTATATATAAAAGTGATTTAATTTCTGTTTAAATTAAAATCCTATGAATTAATCTTTTAAAATATAAAATTTCTGTTAAATAACATTATTATAGGTACTTTGCTTAGAAAATTAACTTTAAATATATTACTGCATAAATTTTTAATTTGATTTCAAATAAATGTTTTCTTTTATTACTAAGAAGGCACAATATTCTATACTATATAGAAGGTAAGTATATTAATGTTACTGTCCCAGAAGGGTGGGTGTACAAATATTATGAATATACAAATGTTATGTATAATAAGTGTCCTTTGAATGATACAAAAAAATACGAACCTTGTCCTGTCTCTCCTTCTATTTAACCTCTTGTAAAGTTTAGTTTTCTTTTTGTTGTATCTCACTTCTAGATTTCCTGGTATCAGTTTTATATTTAATAAATGCTAGTTATTCCTAATTAGTATTTTGGCCAATACAACTTCTTAGCAATTTACCTAAAATTTTAACCCCAAAAATGTAGTTGGAAATACAAATTAAGTATGTAATAAAGTGAATGTTTTTGAAGGAATTTTATGTACTTATTATTAATTTACTTACCAAGTGGTTTTTCTTCTATCTGTAGCAGTAAATTGCTTGCGTTTTTTTTTGTCAACCATTATAATACTTCAACTAAACGAACTCAAATTGAACTTTTATAATATATATTCAAAGTACCTCTCGACACTCACATAAATTGGCTGGAAAATTGAAAAATTCTAAAATATTAATCAGTAAAGATTTCAATCTGTCAAAGTAAAAGACGAGCAAAGCTGACACAGGAAGCGACGTTGCCAGTTCACGTCGTCGTTTAAAAATAAACAGAAGAATGCAACCCGTACTACACCTTTAGTAAAAGATTTGGGTTTAACGAGTCATTAGATATTTAACGATCGTTGTTGCAACCCGCTGTAAAACTGATTGGATTTGGAATAAGGGTATGAAGTTCACTGGAATGTAGGTAAAAAACTTAAAAGAATAATAAAATATTTATTACATATAAAGATTTTAAATAAAATATGGCTTGAGTTCATACAGATTCTAGATTTACAAATTATATAAATTAATCCCAGGTAGACAATTTTTAGATTTCCTAAAGATTCTCAAAAAACAAAGTTATGGCTTGAGTTCATGTATCAAACAAATTTTGAGCCAAAATATCTTAATTTTTTGTGTTCACGCCATTTTAATGAAGATTGTTTTGATCGAACGTCAAAACCAAGAATATGACTTCTACCAACAACTGTTCTAAAAATAAAAGTGGTCTGGTTGAAGTATATAAGTAAATAAATTCTTTACTAACTATATCATGTGCCGTGTTTTTCGTATATAATTTATTACAAAGTTATTTACAAAAACGAACACAAATAAAATTAATAATATCTCAAGTAAGGAAATAAGTAGCATATCGCATGCCTCAAGATACTGTCTTAGATCCTATCTTATTTAATTTTATTTTAATTAATTTGTCTTTGTAAGTTTTTCAGACGACACAGTTATTCTGTAAAATGCAGAGAACTGAAATTGATTAAAATTATTAATAGAAACAGATCTTATAAAAATGTTCGAATGGTTTAATTTTAAAAACTTACAAACCTTTAATAAAACTTATGTTGTTCCATTATATAGTTACAAAAAGATAGCCTCTTCCTATAGAAACAATAAAAGGTAACGTTCAGTAGTTTCATGTAAGTATTACAAATGGTATCAAATACCTTAGATTACAAATTGACTCTCATCATAATGCGTTGAATGTACATTTAAAAATAATCTATTTTGCACTCATAGAATCATTATTATGTTATAGGATCCTTTCTTGGAAAGGTGTTTTACCTGCTTATGAAAAATTGTCCTGCAAAAAATATTACTAATAATATTATGTAATAAAATGATGAGAAATTTTCTTCGATATTAGGAAGTTTTATATGTACTCCAATAAAAACATCTAAAAAAGAAATATCACAGCGATGTTTGACCTAAATATAAGTATAGAATATTTAATTTTATTTAACGCATATCTACAAAACATATTTATTTTTCAAACCTTAATAATATGTAAAATGTAGATTAGTAAAGACGTAAAAAAGTTAATATTTTAATATTTTTTTTAATACATTATTTCTTTGATTTTTCAAATAAACTCCCTCTCTAAATTGAAGACACAAGTGGATGAAGGGCCTATGTAACATTTTTTTTAATGGTGTTTTTCTGTTAATGAAGGTCTTATTTACCTAAAATTCTTCGACGACCATATATCATCAAATATAGAAGTTGCCAGTGGATAAAGGACCCATGTACTATGGAATAATTGCCAAACAATATACTTTAACACGAAATATCTCGTGAAAATTATTTTGCTACATATGCCCTTCATCCACTTGTGTCTTCAATTATTCCAAAAATATTTTCCTATATTTATCCCACCCAACATGCAATTTTAAAGTAAAATTTATTCACATAATGAAGGTTAAAAAAAAAATTCAAACTTCTCGCAAGAAAATAGCAATTCGTTAAAATGAGAGAAATCGGTAAATTTAAATAATATGCAAATGAGAATTTATTATTTTCTTTTCTACGCCCCGTTATGACAGTACGTCACTGGTAGACCGGAAACACTTGTCGAGATATTCGTCTAGTTCACTGTCAAAATTAGATACCATCGCGATTCCAAGGTCGTTTAAGATTCCTCCTTCCGTACTATATATATTCTAAGGAAAATAGCCTCCCAGAAATGACATTTCCTATCTCCCATCTCATGTTGGGACTACTTACCTGTCGTTTCATACCACATCTACCTATTTCATTACTTTTTTTTTTTTCATCCCAGCAAAAATCACTATTAATTACCATTAATAACTCATAAGAAACAGTTTTTATTAAAAAAAAAGAGGGTATTAAGTATGAATTTGCCATTTTCTGCGTTGATTTGAGGTTACCGGTCGCACACCACCATAATTATTAGCCGAGCCGGCCCTGTAGAAAGTATTGTGTAATATGAGTTGCCTACAATCCAAATTGTTTAGGAAGTAAATGTTTAGCATGTTCATGTTGGCAGTACCGGAAATCTTTCTGATGGCAGCAGTGGCCTTTCCATATAGTAAAAACTTTTTTAAATTGTTGGGCAGACTTTTTTGCTATTTATTTAACTATTTGATTAAGTTTCATAACAAGATATTTCAAGCTTTAAAACATGGATGATGGTATAAAATACTTATAATATTATTTGACATTATTTAAAATTATAAATTTCAGAACTTATTATTAAACGAAAATTAATCTTTGATGGTGATGGATTGGGAGATGAACGTCGAATAAACTTGTTACTAAAAATGATTGCAAAATGGATCAATGCAAATAATTCTAATGAAGAAAATCAATCTATATTTAATACATTATTTTCGCAGATTTCTGCTATGGAACATGCTAGGCGCAAATCTGAACTAATGAAAGCAAATTACCAAAAAGAATCTATTAGGTATCAAGAATATAAAGAAGAATTAGAAGCAAATATCAACGTTATTAAAAACGCAATAGATTCCAGCAAAGTTTTGCTATTGGAAGTGAGAAGTTCTAAACAACAAAAATTAAATTATGATTTGATTGCTAAAGATATATCATTGGAGCCCTCAAGAGCTGAAACCTCCGAGTGTGTAAAAGAACTCCAAAATGGTTTATTAAAAATGAAAAAAAACGACACTAATTTAAAGAAGGAATGGTCTATTTGGAGGAAACATTGTAGTGTTATAGTGACAACTGCAAATCAGTTAAACTCCATAATAGATAAAATGAAGTTTGAATAAGAGTTACCATTTTTGTTGTAATCTTAAGTATTTTTTATTTCTTACTCATTAAATAATACAAGAACCTAATGTTGATATTAATATTTTAACTGTTATGTAATAGGTTTTTTAAATGAAAAAAAAAAAATGTTAAAGTTTATTATAAGAATTTTGAATTCTAAAGAACCCTTCATCAAGTTTCAATTACGATTTCGGGTCCGGTAAAGGATCCTGTGGTGCGAAATTCACACAAGTTTTTTAAACACTCAAAAGTAACTAGTTTCTATAGTAAATTTTCGAAAAAAAAATTATGAATGAAGCAGTATTTTTTGAAGAAAGCAAGAAATAACCCTACCTATTTCGCTGCAGAAACCTGAAGAAATAAATAAGTACTTTTGTTGTTTTTGTATAATGAAGTAGATGATGACCTATTAGAATATTATAATAATTCAACACTACCTAATTTGCATGGAAATAAACTAGTATTTGTCAGGGAATTTAACAAACTACTCCATAATATCAAATCTAATGCCATGGGTTCTGTTGCTGTTTCAATCTCCATGCTGAAATACTGTAGTCTGCATATTGATAATTACATTATGCACCTGCTAAACTGTTGTATTCAAAAAAACTACTTTTCAACATCTTGGAAAATTGTAACAATTAGACCACTTTGTAAAGTTGCACAATCTCAAAATGTTTCTAATTTAAGGCCTATTAGTATTCCGACTGTGATGTCCAAAATTCTTGAAAAGGCTATCTATATTAGAATTTCCCTTTATATTGATGAAAACCAAATACTTCCGGATTTCCAGGCTGGTTTCCGAAGTGACTACAATACATCTGTTACACTTTGTCAAGTTACTGATGATATTGTAAGAGATATAGACAAATTACAGGATTTGTTGCTTTGGACTATTCCAAAGCATTTGATACTATTAATCACAATCTACTTTTCAAACTAAAATATTTTGGTTTTTCTGAAAATTCTATTCACTTCATTTATTCATATTTGTCTAACCGTAGTCAAAAAGTTCTTTTAAATAATGAATTTTCTTTATTACAAAACGTAAAGTCTGGTATGCCACAGGGTTCAATATTAGGTTTAGGTTTAAACATTTATTTCTCAGTTAAAAATTTACAATATATAATAAAAACATACTGTACACAGTACAAGTATGTGACCTTATTAGTAAACTTATAAGGCATAAGACGATACCTTCACCTGTTATACGTCGCATATTTCAAGTGTTATGGTTTTGCTAAAAATAGCCGCCCTCGCTCCTTACCCTTGGGGTATTATTAAGGGATTTGAGAAGATTATAATCGGGAATTGTAAGTGTTTGTAGGTTTGTCCTGTCTTAATTTCGTATTGTCCCCTGAAAAAGTTAGAAAAAACAGGGTTGTCGTTCGTGGTGTGTGGTCTTGTACTTGTCTGTGGTTTCACTGAGAGGGTGGGCTATAAACCAATATTAGGACCATTGCTTTTTATTTTATAGACCAGTGATATCTTGACATCTGTTTGCAACTGTAAAATACAAGCATATATGCTGATGACACCCAACTTTATTACAACATTGAAAGTAATAATTATCAAGTTGCTGAACAAGCCTTAAATGATCTTGATCTTATTCATAAATTGTCAAACATAATCTTAAGTTCAATAAAAATAAATATCATCTAATTCTATTTGGAAACAAAAAACAACGGAATTACCTTAGTCAGTCTTTCCATAAAAATAAAGACGATTTATTATTATACAGGGTGTTAATGAATACGTGTTACAGAAGATATTTGAAAAAAATTGACCTGAAGACGCCATCTTCAAAGAGCTTTAGCTTCGAAACCAAAGCTCCAAGAGCACATGTTTATATGAACTTTTCCCTCTATTTTTGCATGTTCTACATGCCCTAAAAACCTGTAACACGTATTCATTAACACCCGATATATTTTATATTTTAACAGCGTAATCTACATCCTAAAATAGGAGTAAAAGTTCATATAAACATAGGTCCGAAAACGTTTCTTTTCCGAGATACAGGGTGTTAAAAGTGAAGTCCTGATGACACATTTTTGTAAATATTTTCTAAATACTTAAAGATAACTAAATGAAATTTGGTACAAATGCTTACCGTTTTACGCTCTATGTAATGGACTAAATCTTTGTTCATCTTCATAGATGGGTAAATTAGGGGGGGGGGCTTAAGGTAAAATTGTTTTTTTGTTGTCAGTTTTTAACATTTTTCACTAAAAAATTTGGAAACCCAATGTTTTTTTACAATAAAGCTACTCTTGCTGCATCTCGCTAGGACGCACCATTTTCAAGAGAAAAGCATTTATTTGAAAATTTCTTGATAAGTTCATATTATCTTATTCGAAAGTGCAAACAAAAATTAGTAGGCCTGGAATCCAATAGCTGCTTTTCAATTTTTTGAGACGCTGTGATAAACAAAAATTGTCTGTCAATTGTGTAATTATTTGTACTTTTTTTGCGTGAAAGAAAAATACTTCTAATAAATGGAGAGATTTTCGAATAGAGAATTGGCAGATATTCATTTTGTATATGGTTTGTGTAATGGAAGGGCAAGAGCAGCGGTACGAGCATACCGTAGACGGTTTCCTAACCGAAGAATTTCTGACTACACATAGAAATTTGGTTGACCATGGTTCATTTCAACGTGATCGTGGACAAGGGAGACCACATGGGAACAACAATTTGGAACACGCCCTTAATTTATTTGAAGAGGACCCAAGAAGGAGTATTCGAACTGTTTTCACCCTTTCAGAAATACCACGAGCAATAGTAAGTAATAATTACGTCCCTTTTTCTTTATACTATTTTATGATTCTTAGTTTTTATTGCTCAAACTTACAAGTACAAGTATTATAAATTAAAAATTTAAACAAACCGACTTCAAAAACGTGTAGACAGTGTTGCCAAACGGAGGGAAATTTCCCGTTTTGCGGGAATTTTCAACACAAAAGGGAAAAAAACTCAATTTTTTACTTCAGTTCAAATTGTGAAAAATGTAAGATTTTAAAAATAAATAAAATTAAAATTGTTAATTCTTTAATATATTTTTAAAGTTTTGTTAAAAGATTTATGTTTTTAGATTTATACTTTGTTATGTACGTTCGTTTTCTTTTAATAAATATTTTTTGGAAAATATGTACATGCTTGTATTTCTGGTATAAAACGGATTTTGTTAACGGGAGGGAATTTTTTCATAAAAGTGGGAATTTTTAAAGTAAGAAGAGGGAAAAGCTTACTTCAAGGTTGGCAACACTGCGTGTAGATGCCATCACCACACCTTAACCAAATGGGACTACCCCTGAGGTATCCCCTTACTAACAAAAAAATAATCATATAAATCGGACAAAGTGGTAAAGCATTATCGCTAAACATACATAAAAAATGAAGAGTTTGAGGATTTTCTCATGGACACAATTATTAGATTTTAACCAAATTTATACGGGACCACTCCTGAAGTACCCCCTTTCTAACAAAAAAAGAATTTTTGAAATCGGACACCGTGTTAAAGAATTATCGCTGAACATACATACATACATACATAAAAAAAAATATCGCGACGAATTGAGAACCTCCTCCTTTTTTGAAGTCGGTTAAAAATAACACGTACAAGTTTCAGATTAAAGGCATTTTTAAATTCTTACTTTAGTTTACGTGTCTTTTAAAAAATATGTTCATTTAGGTTGGAAGAATGTTCAGAATGTAGGGTATTCATCTCTATCATTATCAGCGTGTTCAAGCCTTAAGACCCCACGACTTTTTACCACGAATGGAGTTTAGTGAATGGATAAGAAACCATCAGGAACTGCTTCTTTTTATTATGTGGAGCGACGAGGCCACATTTAATAGAGATGGTGTTTTTAATATTCACAATCACCATTTTTATTCACAAGAAAATCCTAGGGTGGTGCGACGTCGATTTTTTCAAGGTAGAAATTCCTGCTCGGATAAATTCAATTGAGTATCTGAATTTTTTATAAACTCACCTTGAACCCATTCTGGATAATCTCCCATTAAATATTCGACATCAGCTGCACCTTAAGCACGACGGAGCGCCAGCCCATTATGGCGTTAATGTGAGAAATTGGCTAAATGAAAGATTTCCGGGTAAATGGATAGGAAGAGGTGTTCCCATACCGTGGCCACCTCGATCTCCGGATTTAAACCCATTAGATTATTACTTTTGAGGTCGTATAAAAGATATGGTATACGCTACAGAAGTTGACAGTGAGGAAGAGTTGCGTGAAAGGATACGTTTGCAAAATAATTTTGAAGTAATGCGAGCTTCACATGCAATTACCCGTAGAGCCGAAATGTGCCTTCGTCAGCAAGGCAACGTTTTTGAACATTTACTTTAACTGTTGTATAAATTGATATTTTTAGTAGAATTTTTGTTATTTTTAGTAGTATAGACAAAAACAATTTTTGAGAATCATTTGTTTATCGTCGTCATTTTAACCTATTTTAAGTCATCCTTAGGAAAATAAAAGTAGATACTTCACGTTAAAAAACTTAAAATTATTATCAAATAGCATTTGCAATAATTAAAAGTAGGTAACTAATGATTTCTTCTCTAACTCAGTCAAACTTCATATTTTCAAGAAATTACCAGCTATTCTTAATTTCAAATACAGTTTTGCTATAATTTTACGATATTTAACGTATCTGATTTATTTTTACCATCCTAAGGATTACCCTAAAAGAGTTTAAACGTCGGCAGTTAAAAAAATACATTCTCATCAATCATGTTATTGGGCAAAAGCCAACCAAACCATTAAAAAAAACAATTGATTAGTTTAAGTTTAAATACTATTTAGTTTTACTATTTAAAGTTTCTTTATAAAATAAACATTAAATTAAAGCTAAATAAATTTCTTTAGTCACCGGTTTTCCAAACCTGAAAAAAAATTCTGATTCCACAGGCCTGCTAATTATCGTTTGCACTTTCGAATAAAATAATATGAACTCATCATAAAATTTTCAAATGCTTTTTTCTTGAAAATGGTGCGTCCTAGCGAGATGCAGCAAGAGTAGCTCTATTGTAAAAAAAAAATTTTTTAGTCAAAAATGTTAAAAACTAAAAAAACAAAAAAACTTAGGGCAATTTTACCTTAAGCCCCCCCCTAATTTACCCATCTATGAAGATAATCAAAAACTAAGATTTAGTCCATTACATAGAGAATAAAAAGGTAAGCATTTGTACCAAATTTAATTTAGTTATCTTTAAGCGTTTAGAAAATATTTACAAAAATGTGTCATCAGGACTTCACTTTTAACACCCTGTATCTCGGAAAATAAACGTTTTCGGACCTATGTTTATATGAACTTTTACTCCTATTTTACGATGTAGATTACGCTGTTAAAATATAACCGTCTAATTTCGGGACACCCTGTATACATTAGTGTCATTGTGTGATCTGAATTATCGACTGTCTCTGGTACAGAAGCGCCATCTTAATTTTATACATTTTGAGAGACACTTTTTGTATACAAAGATAGTTCTTACATCTACACCAGTGTTTCTCAAAGTGTGCTACGCGGAGCCCTGTGGCTTCGCAAAGCCTCCGTGGGGGCTACGCGAAAATGATAGTCATAATAAACAAAATACTAAAGGAGTACTATGAAGAAGTTCGTCACAAAAGAGAGGACCTGGTTTGAGAACCTTGTTTTTCAGATTTTACTAAAAAAAGATTGATTTTTTTTTTAGAAATGCTCCGGGGATGGACAGCAAAAACCTATCTAAACCAATATCAAGTTTAGGGCTCCGTGAAATATTTCGCTTTTCAAAAGGGTTCCGTCGCCAAAAAAGTTTGAGAAACACTGCTCTACACCATACAATTTATAAAATAAAAAAAAAAACAAAAAAGTAAGTCTGCTCGTGGGTTTGAACGCCAGACCCCTCGCATTACAAGCGAGGATGCTAACTTTGTGTCAAATTTTAAAATATAGAGGAATATGTTGTATAATGCTAAATTGTCATTTATAAAGTTGCATCATCTGATGTAGAGGGCGTATCTGACCAGCAAATAAAATCGTTAGTTGAATTATTGTACCAATAAGTGTCCAGGCACAAATACCTCCAATAACTTTTACAATGCGATTATCCTACTATAGTTCTTTATACAGTGGTTATGTTCACTGGAGAGGATTTGTGATTGTTTGACTTTGATTCGTGTATTATTATCCAACTTTCGCTCATAATGTTGTTTGCTTCAGTTATTCTCAGATCATTTTGTTTGTTTATTTTCTTACAATATTTATAGTATTTTTTTTTTAAATTGTTTGTATCTTAAAGTATAGTATGGGTTATTAACTTGTTTTCTAAGACTATTCATTTCACAAAGTTGAACATGTAGTGACTTTACCATTTTTTGTTAGTTTTTTCTCTTATTTTTCCTCTTGTTATTGGAAACTGGTTCTTTATTGCACTAGTGCAATAAAAATTTTATTGCACTCATCTGTCATTTTACTACAGCGTTTTATGATCATGACAAACATAAATATTCAAATCAATGCCAAATATTTAGTCCATTTTCATTTTCTGTGTTACATTTTAAAAACAATTGCATATTTTATATTATTTTCAATCATTTAATAAATAAATTAATAAAAAAATGTATTTCATTAAAAATGTCATTACAAATTATGAACACAAACGTAAATAAATGCCTCAAACAAAGGTACACGATCACGGCTACTATGATTTGGAGAATACAACTGCAGTTATATAAAACATTCTTTGGTTTTTGCATGAACGTAGAAAAAATATTGTATGCAACTCGTGCAAAAGTGTTTATTGCAGTCGACGTGTTGTCAAACTCGGCCTGACGGCCTCGTTGGACAATTTCACGTCGCGTGCAACACTTACTTTTTGCACTTGTTGCATAAATAACTATTAAATGTATGTTTTTGTTTTGTTTTTTATGAGTGTGTTGGTGTTTGTGTGAGGTGAATGTATGCTGCATTAGTAAGTTAGTATTAAGTTATATTCTGAATCATTTATTGTAGTGACAATTAATAAAATTATATTCTAAATGGAGAGTATTATGCCAATTTTCATTAAAAATTAAAATTTCTAGGTTTGAATCACTATAAAATATATTTTGTTTTTGAACATACATTTTAACCTCCCTTCCAACCCATAAAGATGGGGAAGTTATTACAATCAGTACAAAAATCGAATTTGAGATAACACCAGATCTTTACGTTTTGGGGCCATAGAAACTCTACATGTTTTTAAAAAATGTTCAGATATACGTATGTGTGCCTCTTTTTTTGTTAGCACTATGCAGCCCATTTCGATGGGATTTAGAAAATAGTGCTTCCAGGAGCCCCTAAAGAGCTGATAAATTGAACATAGAGAAACTGTGGGGAGGGTTCCTTTATAGGAAGTTGTTTTTCAACTTTTTTATATATTTCTGTTATTTATGAATAAGAGAAGAAAATTATTCAGATGTTCTTCAGAATGTCATTATCTATAATTTTTGTTAAATACATTTTGTCCTTTAAATGAACCTTATTGAAGATATTTGATAAAACGTACAAAATTCTTTTTTTTTAGGTTGACCAAGATCTAATTTTAGTTGGAAAGCATCGTGTTAGAACAACATCAGATATAAATATGAAAACAAAATAAAATTTTGGGTGGGTTTTTGTAAGAGTTGTGGTAGAATGTAATCAATAAATTCAATAATATTAATTATAATAATTTTTAAGTGATTAAAAATATTTTTTCAAACCACTCAAATATTTAATTTTAGAATGTTTCGAATATTTCTTTCGAAAAAAAGAAAAAACAAAAAATACTTTGTTATTGTATTTTAAAAAATTATGTAAGTATTTGAAATTAAATCTTATCTTGTGAATACACTAAAGTTCAACAACTTTTTCACTTTTTAGCCTTCTTCTTTTCAGCCTCTTCTTCCTTCTCTTTTTCAATTTCTGTTACATATTTCTCGATTGTGTCCCCATCTAACATTTCTACTGGTTCGCCATGTCGCATAACGGCAATTTCTAAATTCTTTTGCCCCGATTGTACAACTTCTAATAAAGCTCGAATTGCTAGTTTCACAGTACCCTTTTCGTTTTCCACTTCTTCAGATGTGTAAAACTTTTCAAGAAATTCTCTAACAGTCTTGGCAGATCGACCTGGGTTATAAAGAAAACAAATTTTATTATAATGTAAATACTATTACATCCTAGAAAAATACTTGCTAATACTTTCTAGTTAGTATAACAGTATATCTAACTATAATTAAAAACACAGAACTGCCATACAGCCAGGTGATGAAAAGAGTAAATGTTGAGTTCAAATGGCAGTTCAATGCTGTGATAGACAGGTATTAAGTTTTATCAGTCATGATCAAAGTATCAGAGGGTTAAGGTTGATTATACCCAACCAAAAAATTAATCTTACATTCCAAAATTTTTAAAAAATTCATACAACATACATATCACATAAGTTACTAATGGGCAAATTTTAAAAAAAAATCTGGTAGGTCGTTTTTGAAAAAAAAAAATTTGTTCAAAAATTCAAGTAAGTAAAAAGTTATCTTTCATCAGATTTTGTCTCTATGCCATTGTTATACTAGAATTTTTACAAAAATTTTTATAAATAACATTTTTATTTCACAATAAATTATCTCTAAAACTTTTATAAACAAACAAAATTAGCTTATTTCCTGTTATTATAACTGTTTATTGCTCTACACCCCCACCTAAGATTTATTCTAAATGCTGAAAAATTGTAAAAAGTCAATAATAATGTTTTCATTAAATGAATATTTTTAAATTTGGCACCTAAAACACTAGTCAAGTCAATGCTACTATGAATAGAAATAAAATTAAAGTTTCTGAATCTACCCATCTTGAGTAGCGATAGTTTTGCGATGTTGCCAAATCGATTTAAAAATAAGAGAATAAAGTAAATTACAGAATGGTTAATAAAACAGGAAACGTAATAATGGTGGGATTATTTATTATGTCTAGTGACAAAGAACATGGTAAATGGTCATTTTTTTTGTAGAAATATGACATTTTGGTTTCAATATTTAATAAACTTCTCTATGAAATGAATACCAGAACAAATGTTTAGCTTATTTTTTAAAATAGGCAAAGAACTTCAATTCAGAAATTGTTCATTATTTACTGCAAAAAATAAAGCTCCAGTTTCTAAAATTTGTGAATAACATTTTCTTGTGGAAATCTTTGTGCACTATCAACTATACAGGGCGACCCATTAGTGTGAATAAGTTAGAGGTATAAAAATTATTTTCAAATGTGTTCAATAAATTCAGTGTGGAAAAAGTGTTCATTTTTTAATGGATAAATGAATAATTTACAGGTAGTTAAATTCTAATTACTAATTAAGAATTAATAATTAAGTCTATTTGCTATTAACAAGTAACCAGTTAAAATTAAAGTATTAAAATTTTGTCATTTAATTTTAAAACTTTAGGTTTAGAAAATGTTTAAATCATGTGAAAGTATTATAAAATCAGGGTACTTTTGAATGGTGTATAAAGTAAAGTGTGGTCAATTTAAAATAAAAAATGTGAAAGTGATGTGTTGACTGTTGTTTCTTTTCTAATATAAAGGTCATTTAAATCAATAAGATTTTTATATAAATCAAAAATCGCCAGATATCTGATACCTTTTGGAGACCTGGTGTCATGATGATAATATCAATATATTTTGTTTTGATGGATACCATCAGGCCGCATTCTTTAATAGGACTGATAAGGATCATGGTGGTGTCTTGATACTTGTAAAAAAATCTTTGTTGTATGATATACCGCGATTTATTTGTGACAAAAGTGAAGAGTTAAATTTTGAATGTTGTTCAATTATGTTTAGTTTAAATGGACTTGGGTATTGATTGTTAACTATATTTATCAGGCCCCAACAGGTAATCTTGATACATTTTTTAATAAGATGTATATGCTTATTAATTATTGTTATAGTCATTTCAAATGTATCATAACTTGTGGAGATTTCAATATTAATTTTTTAAAAGATTCATGAAAAAAAGTTTTATTAGTTGATTTGATGGAGTGTTTTAACTTGCGTTGTTTAAATAGAGAACCAACTAGAATTTTTACTGACAAAAACGGTAAAACGTCGGGTACTAAAATTGATTATTTTCTCACAAATTACCTTTCTACATATACGGAAACCATGGTAGACCTCTGTATTGGAGATCACCTAGCAATTAACCTGTCATTAAATTATGTAAAGGAAAAATGTTATGTAACTGATATCAATGAAAAAATACATTTTAGAGACTTATCAGAGGCGAATTTACTTAATCTGCAGCAAAAAATAAGTTCTGAAAATTTTGATTCTGTGTATGAATATTTTGATAACATAAATCTTGCCTATGAAACATTCTTAAATATTCTAAATTACTATATAGAAGTAAATTGTCCGGTTGTCACAAGAGCTGTAAAGACAAATAAAAAAAAATAATTGGATAACTCCAGATATTTTGAGGATGGCAGCTAATATAAGGAATTTATTTTGATTAGTAAAAAATTCTAATGATGTGAATATACATATTAGATACAAAGAAGCAAAGAGACAATATGTCAATAATATAAATGAAGCAAAAAGATCTCATTTTCATAAGGGATTGCACAATAAAACTTTTCAGCAAAAACAAAAATATATATGGAAACAGGTAAATCACCAAGATGGTAAAACATCAAAAGGTTCTCAAATTAAACAAATTGAAGTACGAAGACTGTCAATTATTGAATCAAAACAAATAGCTAAAGTTTTTGCAGAGCATTTTGCCACCTCCACAAAAAAAGCACTACAGTCTCATTTCAATGATTTGAATTTTAAAAATTTTACTGCATCATGTGTCTCTCAGACCTTTTACTTCTCTCCTGTTGATCATCCTGATGTAATTGAAGTTATTCACTCATTAAAAAATGTTAACTCTATGGGCATTGACTGCATTTCCACAAAGATAATAAAACGTATTAGCCATCACATCTCTCAAATTTTATCAGACTTAATCAATCAGTCTATTCAGCTAGGTATTTTCTTAGATTATCTGAAAGTAGGATATATAACTCCTATCTTTAAAAAAAAGTGATAATAATTTAATTGATAATTATAGACCTATTACTTTGCCTACAATCTTAAGCAAAATCTTTGAAAAGTGTGTCCACAAAAAAATGCTAATATTTCTTAAAAAATATGAAATAATATGCAAAAATCAAAATGGATTCCTTCCAGAAAAATCTACTGAAAGTGCAGCAATAGATCTTTTTCATTTCATACACACTTCTATTGATCAAAAGTTGTTTGTGGGTATGATTTTCTTTGATTTATCAAAGGCGTTTGATTCAATCAACTTAGATGTCACTATTCAAAAATTGAAAGCGCTTGGTTTTAGAGGTAACTTTTTGTCTTGGTTGTCATCTTATATAAATAACAGACATATCTATGTCAAGTTGGAAATTGTAAATCTGAACTAGAAAGTGTTGATATGGGTGTGCCTCAGGGATCAATTTTAGGACCTCTAATTTTTCTATGCTACATAAATGATATGCCTAATCATATTAACTCAGAAAACATAATTTTATATGCAGATGACACAACAATTGCCACCAACCCACAATCAGTAGATGAATTAATTAGTAAATTAAATGTTTTATCTAATGAGTTTACATCATGGTGTTATAGAAATTGTTAATTCAAACAAAACCGTTTGCCTTCAGTTCTACTCCAGAAATCAAATTACCCAGAATTGTAAAATAAATGTCAATAATATAATTTTTGGGCATACATATTGATAGCAATATGGGTTGGGATAGCCAAATATCTAATGTTTGTAAAAAATTAAACAGCACATACTATGCAATACTAAAATTAAAATCAATATTTACCCAAGAGCAACTGCTTAATGTCTACTGTGCTTTAGCATATTCTCCTCAATATTTTCATATATCATACAACATTATTCTTTGGGATGATTCACTTTACACCTCAGGTATACATTTTTGGAATCAAATAGAGGAGAATACAAAAATGCAATAACTGTTCCATTGAAAAAAAAACATGCAAGGTGGCCATTGGAGGAGGGGGCCAATCGCTCAAAGTTATAATGAGTATACGTCCCCCTTTGAATAAGTTTTATATTTTTTCATAAAAGTCTGGCCTTTCAAATTATTTAGAGTGGATTTTCACTGAAATTCCAGTATATATCCTTCACATACATAAATACAAGTAATACTAATATTATTAAAAACTATTTTAGAATAATAAATCTCACCTGTTGCATTTGCTCTCCATTCATAGTATATTCCAGAGGGCTCGGTTTGATAAAGATGAGGTTTTCCATCATCATCAAATCCACCAATAAGGCAAGATATTCCAAAAGGTCTTCTTCCATTGCTTTGGGTATATTTCTGTTTTAGTGAGGCTATATATCTAGTAATGTACTCTAAAGTTACAGGATCTTCAACAGTCAATTTGTGACTTTGACATTCAATCTGGGCACGATTTATTAATATTCTGGCGTCCGCAGTCAAACCCGCAAAGGCCATAACAACATGGTCATCCAAAATACATATTTTTTTAACTGTGCGCTCTTCTTGAAGTTTAGCAACTGATTTTTTTTCTACGCCTAATACTACAGCGTTTGTACCTCTTACGCCAACCTGTAAATATGATAAAGATACTACAACTTTCGATCAGGTTTCTTTTAAATTTTAAATAGTTGTTAGATGATATGACAATTTTATTTTGGGGGTTATGAATATTTTCTTACCGCAGTGGATCCTTTTCGAACGGCTTCTTGTGCATATTCGACTTGCAACAGGTGCCCATCAGGAGAAAATACAGTAATAGCTCGATCGTACCTTGAAGACATTTCTCTTAATATACAAAAAACTGATAGGACAAGCGGTTAGTCAAAATGTACACAACCTCAAAATTTTCGCTTTATCATCAACAATCAGTCGCACCATCAGTAAAAAATAGACACTACAAAATTTGGTTCGAAATATGTCAAATTACAGGTTAGCCAACAGTTTTAGAATTACGTTTGGTTGTTGTTCTTGAGTTCTAAAGTCTGCTACAAACTTCCGAAACCTCAGAAACAGGAACCGTTTAATATTTAAGGACCGATTCCACCGTTGTGTTAAACGAAGTTTAAAATGACATTTTTACATTAACAATGTCATTTTAATCTCCGTTTAACACAACGGTGGAATCGGCCCTAATTATAATATAATAATATTTAAAGTTTTCTTACGCAAGGTTCTTTCGTTCGTCCCACTGGTGTAGGAATGAACTACACCAACGCACACCATGGGGGCTATTTTCAAAGTATGGGAGCACTCATTTCTCTCAAGATTCTCATCAGAAATGTCATACGTCAATGTGGAAACGCTGTTTTTAAAGGCCTCGAGGATTAAAAATCTTAGGAGGATATTAATTATCTCTAAATAAACAGTGAGAAACAATCAGTGAGTTCACACTGGCCCTTAGGACCCTAAACATTACTGTTTTACGTTGACGTATGACATTTCTCTCGAGAGAAATGAATTCTCTCGACTTTGAAAATAGCACCCCATACCTTTCGTTTGGCCCTTGGACCAATGAACGGGAGTGGGGTAGAATGCTTGTCAATAGGCTTGAGATAGATGCGACCTCAGAGATACGACTCTATGGGCGAAGACAGGTTATTTTTATCTCACTTGAGAGTATTTATAACAACCATTTTCTATTTCATTTTGTTATTGTCTTATCCACCAGCTTGTGGATTGAACAATAATAATGTGAAACAGAAAATGGTTATTATAAATACTCCCGAGTGAGATATAAGAAATAAAAATAGCTGTGCCCACAGAGTCGTATCTTGTTCTATTGATACAATCAGGACCGATTCCACCGTTGTGTTAAACGAAGTTTAAAATGTTATTTTTACATTAACAATGTCATTTTAATCTCCGTTTAACACAACGGTGGAATCGGCCCTTAGGTAAATAAAGGTGGTGTAACAGGTGTAATATACACTGGTGGACACTGCACCAACAGCGAACAAAAGAACCTATAGTGTTAGTCGGTGTAGTTCATTGCTACACCAGTAGGACAAACGAAAGAACCTAATGATTGTCACCAATCACCTGTCATAATCTGCCAAACAGGCAAAAATTTTAGTAACCTCACATTTTAAAAGATGTTTAGAGACTGATAGTAAAGTATATGTTTTTTTATTAATTATTTCAGACAGTAAGAAAGTATGTTTTCAAAGAAATTATTATTAACGTGTTTGTTAATTTTCGAATTTGGAATATGTATGTGCCATTCACATTCTCACGACGTTCATGATCATCATGGACATTCACATGAAGAACCTCCTTCTTTTAAATATTCACAAACTGCTAATGAAAAACATGAAGTTCCACATCACAAAGACATACCTACTAAACCTAAACCAACTCCACTTAGTACACAGGATCTCTGGATTCATGCTATGGGATCGACTTTATTAATTAGTGCTGCCCCTTTCTTTATATTGTTTTTTGTTCCGCTTGATAACACAGAAAGCAGCCAACCTTTACTTAAAATTTTATTAGCATTTGCTTCAGGGGGTTTACTAGGAGATGCCTTTTTGCATCTAATCCCACATGCCACTATGTCTGTAGATGAGCATAGTCCTCATTCCCATAGTCACACCCATGAGCCGGGAGAAGAACATGGGCATGACATGTCTGTGGGACTATGGGTTCTGTCTGGAATAGTTGCATTTTTAGTGGTAGAAAAATCTGTAAGGATATTGAAAGGTAAAAAATAATTTGGATTTTAATAAAATGTTGAGCCGAGTGTTGAGCTGTAGTCACTCTAAACTTTGCTATATCAGGTGACTCATAGTCTTTAAACTGACAAAATTACATTTTTGTAGGAAGTAGCCATAGCCATTCTCATGTACCTCCACCAAAAAAAGTTGATAAAAAAGTAGAAACCAAAAATGATAAACCACTGAAGAAAAAAGAGAAGGAAGTGGAAGAACCACCAAAAGAAATCAAAGTTGCTGGATATCTTAATTTAGCTGCTGATTTTAGTCACAACTTTACAGATGGTCTTGCTATTGGATCATCTTATTTAGCTGGAAATACTATTGGTAATTGTTTTTATTAACCTATTTAGGAAAAGTAAATCTTATTATCCTTTAATAGGACAACGAAAGTAACATAAGTTTAATTACTAGAGATTTTTTAAATATTCCAAATTTAAAGAATATCTATTCCTGTTTTAAATACTCATTGCTAGGTAGGTATGTCACACAAATAACATTGGTATAATAAATGTACTTTTTGTGGATATTTTAGAGTTTAAACATTAAATCTAATTACTACATTATTATGTAAGTCAATATTAATATTTATATATTTTTTTAAATATGAATTGTTTAATTATGTTTATTAGTTAATTCTTGTATTTCTTAGGTATTGTAACTACTATCACAATTCTACTACATGAAGTTCCTCATGAAATTGGAGATTTTGCTATACTACTTCAATCAGGTGTATCAAGAAGGAATGCTATGTTACTTCAACTTACAACTGCCTTAGGAGCAGTTGCTGGTATGTACAACTTAAAAGTTAATAATTTACTTTTAGATGAATGCCTTCTGAATTTTCATGTGATGATTGGTTTACAAACTTGGAGCAATATAATTGAATCTTATTTTCCATGCCAGTGAATTAGGTTTAATGTATTCCTTTTCCCAGAAATAGGTCAATAAAAACCAGAACACAAATATTTTTTCTCAGGAGAAGGAAAAACATAAATATGGAGCAAAATAAATTTATTTTTGAAAAGTCAAATTAGAGTAAATCAACTATTGTCATTCAAAATGTGATTAGTTTTATAATATTAATATTTAGTGGAAAATGGTGTATCTTCACCTTCTATAATTCTAAATGGAATTAAAACCAAAATATGACATTCTGACAAAAGTTTTTCTCTTGAAAGGCAGACCCAGTTTAATATAGCAAGTGGTGTCTTGTAGTAGATATATTATTGGAGAGGTAATATAATTCTGAATGCCTTGATTACATTTTTAATAACGCTCTTATTTAAAAAAATTAAAAAAATTAATTGCCTATCAGATGTTTTTCTAATTAAAAATACTCATTCTTTGTATGATTGTACAAAGATCACATCCAGAATAAAAACAAAACAAAAATACATAAAATATTTTTAACAAAAACTACGTGAACAATCTTACATTTTAATAATTCAACAAAGATTATAACACGTAGGTGTCTGTAATATTGAACTTTGGTTTCATTTTGTGTTTAAAGTGGATTTTAATTGCATTGAGAATGTGTTTGTAGATATTCTACAGTACTTTGCATGAATAAGTAGTTGGAAATTGATAAGAAAATAACAAATTATCTAATGTTGCTATTTAAACATTTTTGTGGAATGATTTATTTTTATTAAGATGATGTAAAATACTAAAAATTCGTTTTATAATCAGGTCACTAAGTAAAATACAATATTAGTACATGTTATTACATAATTTTTGCCATTTGCAAAAATCCTATTTCTTCTTCTTAACTTGAAATCAAAAGGAAATTTTTTTATAATGAATTAAAAAAAGTTATTTTTGCAAAAAGTTATGTATCCCTTAAAAACTAACATACAACCATCAGATATCAAATATTTTCAATTGTATACCAGGTTTGTCAAAATTTTGTGCAATATTGAAAATTGTTATAAACAATAATTGATTAGAATCGAAAACTACGTTCTAATATGCAGTTACATTCATCTTACCCTGGAAAATAATAATTCATTTTTTCATATTTTTGTATCCATCAATTTTAAAATGTCGTTTAAATGACATATTCATTATAAGCATGTTGCATTACATTACATACTCAAAAATTAAGGAAATCGGAGACATTATTTCAAAAAGTGTCAATAAGACACAACGATTGGCAAATTCATTATTAGTATGTCACGTGTCATTTCCTTTTCAAAAATCATGAGAATCGGAAATATGAAAGATGGTGGGATACCGGTAGTAATGATATGATAATTTCAGCTAGATAATAGTTCAAGGTAAACATCAACAACAACGATCCGTTAATGCCCGTGTCTTTGATGGCAATTCTTTCGTTGGAACTAACAGCTGGATGACAGTTCACGCCGAATGCCGTTTGCCCCGTTCGAATCGGACCAATAGAAATAAAGATATAAGTTTTTGGCCCTTCTGGCATGTTTTTTCTCTTCAACGTTAATCGTTCTATACATAATGCCGTTTTTCCCGTTTGAATCGGACCACGTAATACATGCTAAGGCCATTCTGGCTTTTTCGTTCTGCGCATGATTTTTCTGTTTGACGTTAATCTATACCACGTTCTCTACGTAATACCGTTTTTCCCGTTTGAATTGGACTAGTAATGTCCGAGGAACACGCTAAGGCCCTTGTGGCTTTTCATTCTACCCATGATTTTTCTGTTCGACGTTAATCAATACTGAGTTATCTCATAATGTCGTTTTCTCGTTTGAATCGGACCAGTAATGACGGAAATTGAAGCTTAGGCCCTTCTGGTTTTTCGTTCCGCGAATGATTTTTCTATTCGACGTTAATCTATACCACGATCTCTACGTAATGCCGTTTTTCCCGTTTGAATCGGTCCAATAGCAGTGAAGATACGTGCTAAGGCCCTTTTGACATTGCACAAGATTTTTCTCTTCTACGTTAATCGTTCTCGTCATAATGCCGTTTTTCCCGTTTAAATCGGACCAATAGCAGTGAAGATACACGCTAAGGCCCTTGTGGCTTTTCGTTCAGCGCATGATTTTTCTCTTCTACGTTAATCTATACCACGTTCTCTACGTAATGCCGTTTTTCCCGTTTAAATCGGACCAATAGCAGTGAAGATACGTGCTAAGGCCTTTTTGACATGATTTTTCTGTTCGACGTTAAAGGGGATTTAATTTCCCCCCACTCCCCTCACTCCGCCGCTTTCCTCACTCCACCGCTTTCCTCACTCCACCGTTGGTGGCTCGACAAGTTAGTTGATGATTCTCGACGTGTGACGTCACCGTCAAAAATTGGCAGAATGAACCTTGTTAATTTACATAAGGAATGAGGCCGAACTATTGCTGCTCCTTTACTTACATAACAACCTTTTATTGAACTCACCTTTCTTTTAAGTTTGATTTTAGTCGTTTTCTGTTTTTGATTTAACTTTTTATTAAGTGTATTTAAATATGACCATCCACTAGTATTCAAACTCTTAAGAGGCCGGCCAATATAATATACAAACTAAAAAGATTCAACCATATGATTAAACGCAAATTAGCCAAAACAGACATAAGAAAAAGTAGTACTATCTCTTATCTCACTCTTGACATAACGTTTTTCACTCGTAAGCATTGCAAGCAAAAAATAATTTTAACGATTTCATTTTCAAAGTCATCTAAATGATGCCCTCTGGCATAATTTGATAATCTATAAAACTGGTGTTCCTTAAATTGTATGGATTTGAATGCCATAAAGTGTCATGTCATGCACTTTTACTCCCATGTACCAACTACTACTTTTGATTATAACTTAAATGGTCATATCTTGGAGTCTATTAATCAAATCAACTTGGAGTTATTCTAGATCCCACTTTAAGCTTCAATCAACACATACCTAAGGCTATCCATAAATCCATGAAAATGTTAGGTTTTATTAAAAGGCTAACACATGGTTTTACTGACACAACTGCAATTAAAGTCTTCTATTGTTCACTAGTCCAACCTCACTTAGATTATGGCTCTTCTGTCTGGTCTCCACATTACATAACGGACAGCAGAAACATAGAAAATGTACAACATAAATTTCTTAGATACATAGCCTATAAATTGAGTGTCCTTTGCGAGTATGGTTTGATAGAGAATTTTCTAAACATTCCCTCTTTGGAAACATAGAGACCTGACATTACTTTTCAAAATTATCAATGGCAGATACAGCTGTACTGAACTTTTAACAAAAATAAATCTTAATGTTCCAACGCACTCAACTTGACAACACCAATTTTATGTACCTTTTTATCGTTTAAACCATACTTTTAGCAGCTGTATTCCAAGAATATTAAGATTAGCCAACACTCATAACCCCCTTTTCATAAATTTATAAAGCAAATACTTAGTACTGAGATTTAATCTTTGATCTTTAAATTTTTTTAGTTTTTAATGTTTAATGTAAATATTTTATTCAACCTTATTGTCTTTTAAAATCTTTTAAATTATTTACCCATTTTAGTCTATATGTAATGAATTATACCATGATTGTATTTCAGCACCATATATATTTCACTACATTTTAATTATAATTTTAAAATTGTAATTTATGTGTCAAATGGGCTTGCTCATAAATAAATAATTTTATAATTTTCAATTAACGCTGTCTAACCAATAGAGTTTAAAAATGAACCCTTCCACATTTACAAGCAAACGAAGTTAAAAATATACTTTTAGTCTCTAATTTCAGGAACTAAAATGGCACTTTTACTCCCCAGAAATTAAAAATGTACTTTTAATCCATTTGGTCGGGCTACAAACTTTTCGCCTTAGGATAAAACATTCCACTTCAATCCCTTGGTGAATAATATACTATTTTTGTATATCTAATTAGACCAGGGGCATAGGTTGGACAGCCTTTTCACAGTTCTACCATTTGATACACAGGATTTGACATTTTTTTCGCGGAGCTAACTAAAGTCGTTTACCATGTTTACCACTTCTTCACCTACCAAAAGCTTGTCCAACTTCTGTCCCTGCTCTAAAACATAAAAGTGAATAGTAATTTTAAATTTAAATCCGGGCATGCGCACAACACTTAAAAATTTGTTTAGACATGTCCACTTTTCATAAATTTGATATCTGGTGGATGCATTTAAGGTTTTAGACCATGCAGAATTTTTTATGAAAAAACTTGCCATAAAGCCATCTGCGTTATAGGAATAGGATACCATTAAAAGTTTATCTTTGCTAGTTCTATCACTGGTTAAAATGAATATATTTATTTCTGGGCCACCAAGTACATATGCATTATTTTTAATATAACAGTAGCAGAGGTTGGAAAGGCTTTTGGTAGGTAGAGAGGGAGTAACCGTCAAACCACTTTGAGAATTTATCTGCCAGTGGTGTTTCATGAATAAGTAATTTGAAATTTTTACCGGCGGAAACGGACAATCACATGTATTTATAGATTATAAATAATTATTAAACAACTATTATAATATCCCAAATCATAATTTTACCAAATTTCAATAGCTATTCACAATTTATTAAATTATTTACAATATTTACCCGAAATTATTGTTATTAACACCTATAAAATAATTTTGTTCCGCTGACACACTGTCAATACTAATCTGAAGTGTGAGAACTGGCAATAGCCTTTCCAACTCCTGCCCCTACTATATTATTCATAAATTGAACATATTTGTAGTACAATTGATTGATTTTATGGATTCTAGTAATTTAACTGATTTCATCTATCTAGGAACGGCTCTTTCACTTCTCGCCCAAAATGGTTCAGGATCCATGGCAGCTTCTTGGATTCTACCGTTTACCGCTGGAGGTTTCATCTACATAGCGCTCGTTTCAGTAATTCCAGAATTACTTGATGAAGAAAAACCAACTGTAGTTCAAACTCTTCTTCAAGTTGCTGCTATGTTAGCAGGCGTAGGAATGATGGTTTTAATTGCAGAATTTGAATAAGTTTGTGTTGTAAAAATATATATATTTATATATAGACTGATAAGTATATCTCTTTTTATGTACTTTTAAGCTTATTGAATTGTGATAAGTATAAGTATTTTTTTGTTAGGATCTTAATAAAAAAATGCTAAATGGGGAACATGGTTTATTGAACAGAGAATGGTGATGTGTGCCTCCATTTATAGACTAAGAATCGACTGCTAAAAATCGAAGGAAATTACTGTTTTAGGTTGAAGTGAAAAAAAAATATATACTAAAATCATAATCTGCTATGGTTTTATGCACTTTCAAAATAACTTCTATGCTACATTTTTGATACGAGTGCAACAGAGGCAATCATAGTTATTGTTAAAAAGCTATCTTTTGACAAAAATTACGTCAAAATAGACCATTCACAAAACGCGTGACTAATCGTTAGATAGGTAACAATTTTATTGGCTTTCTAGTTTTTTCTGGAGCAACCATTTAAATTTATTATCAAAAATGTTGACGGGATTATAGTGCATTAATTTTTTCTTTCATTTAAAAAAGGAAATTTTCAAATAAAAGTAGTTTGTGATGTCATTTTATATCATTCTTGTTGTATAGATGGAGTTGCCACCTTTTTTGAAAAATTAATAAAGGACAACGGTGACGACAGGAATTCGGTTAAAATATTTTTGGCGATCTTCTAAAAAAAAGTCCTCAATAGTCCTTCTGGCCGAGCTTCTAAAAAAGAGGTCCTCTGCTTATATTTTTATAAAATAAAACTTAACGAACATTTTAAGCTTTAAAAAGGACAATTTGTTTAAAAAAAGAACTGTCCTTTTCAAAAAAGGACAAGTGGCAACCCTACTTATAGATAATAAAATGGACCGTATTGGAGATATTTTAGAAAAGTGCAAATTTCGAATTGTGACAACTCAAAAACGGCTAAAAAGACCAAATTTTTAATTCAAGCTTTAATCCTTCCTGCGGTGGACTGATTAAATTTTGTACAAAGTCGGAACATATGTGAGGGTACTTTATAGGGGGTCGTTTTTCTACTTTAGAGATTATATCTGTTATTTACGCGTGGAGAAAAAAAATTCTTCAAATAAAAGTTGCTTGTGATGTAATTTTCTATAATTCTTGTTCTATACATAATTGCTCTAAAATGTACCGTATTCTAAATATTTGAATAAAAGTGCAAATTATGTGCAAAAAACGAATAAAGAGAAAAACACCAAATTTTAAATTTAAGCATTAATCGATTCTACGGTGAAATGATTAAATATTGGGCATAGTCGGAACATCTAGGGAGTACTTTATAGACTTATAGAGGGTCGTTGTTCTACTTTATGGAAAATATCTGTTATTTGCACTTGAAAAAATAAAATTCTTTAAATAAAAGTTGCTTGTAATATTATTCTCTATAATTTTTGGCCTGTACATAATTTTCTCTAAATGGTCCGTATTCAAGAAATTTGATAAAGTCGAATTTAAAAAATTTTTTTAAATAAAAGTTGTTTGTGTTCAGTATTGCCAGTCTAGTACAAGTGTACTAGATCTGGTACATTTTAAGAATCTGGTACACTGGAAGCAAAATCTAGTACAGCCATACTCAACGTGCTGCCCACGGGCCGCATGCGGCCCTCCAAGCTTTTTTGTCTGATCCCAAACGATTATTAGCAATTGAAATGGTTGACCTATAGTACTGTCCTTGCGACTTTTCGAAGCAATAACACAACTAAAACAACATGAGGACCTTTTTTTAGAACATTGTGGCCCGTTTAGCATAACCAACAAATTTATGTGGCCCGGCGGAAAAAAAGGTTGAGTACAGCTGATCTAGTACCTTTTTCTTTTTCAGCGTGTTACCATTTGACGCTTGTAAAATATATTGTTGGGACCCTTCTCATTGTTTTGTTTTCGTCCGCTAAAAATCCTTTTTTATTTCTTAATGAACCAAGCCACATCACAATTCATTCGAAAATCTGGTACATTTTTTAGAATGTAGTACATTTTATGCAATTTTTTTTAGACAAATCTGGTACATAACAAAAATATAATCTAGCAACACTGTTTGTGTTGTCATTTTCTATAATTTTTGTTCTATTCATGATTTCTCTAAAAGGGACCGTAATGAAAAAATTTGAGGAAAAGTAAAATTTTAATTTTCCACTATTTTCGTTGGCTTAAATGTTCTGAATAAGATGTGTGTATTTAGTTCATCCTCTAAACATTTACACGGGTGATACAATAGGTTGTACAAAATAACCGGAAAAGCCTGTAATAACCAGGCAGGAAAGTCATGAAATGGACAATTCTGCTAACTTATTTGGTCTTCCAACATGCATAATCTCACAGTTACTTTCTTTCTCTGTAAATGACGACTTTCAAATAAAAATAACATAAATAAATTTATATTACGGAAAGATCCATTAGTATATATAAATTACATAAAATTGCTCAAATACATTATAAAAGGCAGGTATAAAAAATCTAACATTAAATATATGAAATAAAATATACTAAATATATTAATATCATTCTGGAATTGACTAGTTGAACACCCAGTGACATCTAAATTGTATTGATTAGCCAATCTTATTAGTCTAGGTAGGGGCGCATGATAAGCATAATTAGTGAGGTGAAGTTGAATTGCAAATAGACTATTATTCCTCGTAGTTCTTGTGGAAACTCTAAATGCAATCATAGATAAAATAACTTATCAGAAGTAACAATCCTCAGGGCCACTGAGAGCCATGTGGGGCCCTGGGGTATTTTTATAAAAAATCAAGTCCTTTCCTAGTGAAATATAGAAAAAAAGATCTTCACCTTGTATTTTTGGTAAACCAGGTCATCCCTTTTGTGGCGAACTTCTAACGTCCTCACCTAAAGCTGCCGGGCCCCGGGAATTTGTCCCCTCTGCCCCCCCTCTCGTCGGACCTGACAATCTCGGCTATGATCTTATAGAGGAATGACAGATCCATGAAGATTCTTTGATTTACAAGGGTTGGGAGGTTCAGAATTGTGGAATAATTATATGTACCTGTCGCAAGACCAAGTTTAAACGCCCATAACATGGTAAATATTTATTTTAGACGTTTTCAATCATTTTTACAGAGTTGTTGTAAAATGGACACCATATGGTAAAGCTGTACTTCAAAATCAACCTAACATATGCAGCATAAACCATTTGTAACCTGACAAACCGGGTCCTAATATATCCTAGTTTTACAAATATTCAAATCTTGGCCTAAAAATACGTCTAGTATATCCCCATGGAGTGCCTTTTTTTGCAACCCAAATTTATGTTTTAGAGTTCCATGTAGTTGTAAGGGAGGAAGAAGAAAGTAAACACAAAAGTAAATTAAGAATAGTTTATATTTAAACTATATTCTAGGTCGGAAAGTTTATATGATCGGTTTGTTTTGTTTATCATACACATGTGGCTTTTTCCATGTCTCATTTCTAAACCGGAGGCATATTGGCCTCCCCGGAGTAGTCTAACTTACGAGGACAGTACTACAGCATATTTGTTATCCCCTTAGAGTCCGCAGTCACACACCTACGCTAATGGCATACCTGAATACGCATTGTCTGATATTGTGAAGTTCAACGGTAGCATGAAGAGTATGACGAGATATGATACTAATTTGAAATGGGTGATTGTGAAGTTGAAACTCTTCGTCTGGCACACATTTTTCACGAATATCCCAATACCGTACTTTACGCTTAGGTTTAGCACTGCATATATGACATTAACTTGTACGACAACAAAACACCTGATATAAAGGGGGATGCCCGTTAGGCCCACTTTTAGGTATCTTTTCTTAAGATCCATCCTACCTCTATCAGGCTTTTCTGTCCATAGACGTGGGGAAAACAAGTACCTTTTTTAGGCCTTACTATTGAGGTTCCGCACGTCCTATGGGTGGCTCAAGGCTTTTTCGGCGCTTTGCTCTTTTGCTCTAATTATCGACAAATCACAGCCACAAATAACAGCTTCGACACCATACGCTCTAATCTCACCTCAATTTCTGAAAGGATAACAACTATACCGTGTGCATGACTGTACCCTCAGCGATATACATATTAAAACGAAAGCACAGAGAGACACATATTATGTCTATCGAACCTAAATAGAATACCTAAAATTACATTTCTATAACCCGCCTCTGTACATTCGCATTTTAAAAGGATAAAGTGGAATACCAACATTTAAAAATAAGACATGAATTTACCCATCTTTTTCATATTCTACAGAATAAAAGACAATATTATTTTACCGTAATTTGCTTAAAAATTCTTTATACCCGATACCAGCGTCGACAAATATCATAAAATTCAAACATCTGTGCCGCTTACGAAGATTTATAACCCCCTCGAAAGCAGATCGCCGAACTACCTAGGCCATAAAAAGGATTAGGTACTCGATTCTTATTGCCCTAAACCAGAAGGGCTTACTTTATTAGTTGTTGTGGCTGGATTAACATAATAATTGATTTTTCTGATGACTGTAAATCTAATTAAGTGCACTATGAAGTCAAATGAAATGCAATGATGATGAAATGGGAAAACAAACCCACATAACTTAATAATTACTTACACGTTACTAAACTTTACTCAATAAGAACGGTTCCCCTTTTTATCACATATAATTAATAACAAAATGATACCTGTAATAAAACCATGCTGTTGTAATTCTCCGCCGACCGCTTCCATGGCTACTATCTGATGGATGGAACACTAGATAAACGCAGAGTGCGTGGAAAATACTGTACTTGAAAACTCTGAACGAAGAAAAATATATACGACAAGTTGTCATCTTGTAGGTAACAGGATAAACTACCTTTCGATATACTTAAGGAATATAAAGAAAAGAGTCACCTTTTAGACAACAGTATCTCAAACTTATCACTGTGTTTCCCAAAACCAAAAGTAGTCACCTTATAGGTAACAGGATAATCTACATTTCGATATATTTGAATAATATAAAGAAAGGAGTCACCTTATTATAGGCAACAGTATCGCAAACTTTTTACTGGGTTTACCAAAAGTAGTCACCTTATAGGTAACAGGATAATCTACCTTTCGATATATTTGAATAATATAAAAAAAGGAGTCACCTTATATACAACAGTATCACAAACTTTTGGGTTACTGAACTTGCTGAAGGCAGAAAGACTTCTAACCCCTTTCTTACATTCGAACGAGGTTTTTATACTTTAAAGGAAAGATCTGAGCAAAATAAGATTCCCAGGTCTTTAATTTCAGTAACACGTTTAATTACCGTTTTACTCGTATTATCCAGACAGTAGTTATGTGTTATTTGATTACGATTTTTTGTAAAAGTAATGCAGTAACACACTTACTACTATTTAGCTATTAGAAGACCATTGACATAAGGCATGAAAATTTTTTTCAAGTTTATTTTACAAAAATCACCACTGTTACCCTTTAAGTAAATCTTTAAATCATCGGCAAACAGCAGATAATTACTGTATTCAAAAACAGATCCAACATCATTAATGAATAAATTAAAAAGTAAAAGAGCTAAGTGGGCTTCTTGTGGTACACCAGTAGATACTTCTATTGGATCAGAAAAATAATTATTTATATAGTCACGCTGCATTCTACCAATGAGATTTACTTTTAAGCCACTATAGAAGAAAATATAAATTCAAATTATATAAATTACAAAAATATAAATTCAAATACCTAGTGGTTCTGGATAATCATCTTAAGTGGGACAAAAATATTGAGTCTTGAAGAAAATATGTTACAAATCCAATAGCTTAAAGAATATACTTAACAATACCCAGCTAAAAACGGTTTATTATGCATTTATTGAATCTCATTTTAAAAAATACATCTAAACAAAGAGTAAAGATATTTTTCAAAATGTTATATAATAGAGGTGGACTTTATCGCTCAAGATCCTCAGCAATTATTTTTCTTGTCGTGTGCTTTATAACAACACAAAAATAAACAATCCCTAAGATTAAATGCACATCATTTTAATACCAGAAATGAAAAATATAACTACTTACTAAAAAAATACCTAGCTACACACACTAAGGAAAAAACAAATATAGAAGGGAGCACAATAATTTAAACAAAATGAACCTTATTTTAATATTTATACTTTATTAAAGAAGAGGACTCTGGGATATAAGTATTTATTTAACTATAATTAATTACTCCTAATAGTTATTATGTAATAACTATACCTAACACAATTTTTTATATGTACCTCTTACTCAATTTATTTCGATTTAAACGAAAATAATTGTTAACATTTTAAATAAATTAAAAAACAATTAAAAAAAATTACAAATATATCAATTTCCAAAGTCTAAAGGTACAAAACAGGACAACTTTAAGGTGAAACATAATCGATATACAGGGTGGCAACTTGAAATCTTGCCACCCTTAATATGTCTGTAAAAGGTATTTACAAAAACATACCACATTCCTTGGACCAAAATAAGCCGATTTAAGTAAACTTACTTTATTACCAAGCTCGTTTCTCCTTTACAATTTTAAAACGGCTCATGCGATTCTGCTTAAATTTAGTATGTTGACAGTTTTATATGCCAAAAATATGTATTATAATTATTCACTAATATTACTCCATTGGTGTAGAACTTGATTTTTTTATTACTCGCACATTTAAAAATTTGGAGTGTAAGTTTTAGAGAAAATTACTAAAACCAAATACTAAGATGGCGCAAAAAACCGACTATTTTTTTCGAGTCTCGTACGAAAAATATGTTAATTTATTAAGTTTTAAGACCCCTTCTAAAAGGGCAGATAAAAACAAATTTTTTAAGGGTCCCAACAAACATTTTGTGTAGGGGAAGTAAAGGCCTAATAACTGCCACCCTCCCATTACATTGATGGCAATTTCACTTTTTTAATTAAAAGGCCCGCATATATAGGTCACTACGGCCGACAGTCGGGCCAAAGTCATTTTGCCATCATAACGAATTAATGTGCCTTCATTTCCCCTTTAATGTTTAGAAATAAAAATATTGGCTATTGATGGGAAGTTAACGGGAAATTGCTGGCCTTTTACCATATTAATAAAGGCCATGTGTCAGGCACATGATCAGACAGGATGATATTCGATAGTGCCTCTTTGACCAGTAGTACCGTTTGAACTATAAATTCTATACAAAAACATAAGGCATTTCAATATAGCATATTGTAGACATTTTATTTAATTCAGCGATATAATATGATAATATTGAAAAAATGTCTTAATAAAATATTCTAAATTAACATGTAAAAATAAAAAATCGGTGTATCCATCTATGAACGCGGGACGGAGCCCTCCTGGACTGTTTGAGTTGGGTCTGCGGCAGTTAAAAATCTTTTGACTTTTACCATGCTTTTATATACCCAATACAGTTACATACTTACCCTTCATAAGGCCATCATCAAGCAACATAATGCTGGGCCACTATCGAAAGGCCAAAAGTAGGCTTTTATCTTTTAATCGTCGTATTCACTTTCCCTTCAGTTACAGCAAAAGGCCAGCAATATCCCGGCAATTTATTGTTTGTTGGGGTCGCTTAAGATTTTTAAAAATTTCAAAATTAGTCAAAATTCGATTTATTAAATTATACTTTCATTGTTTTGGATTTTTTTCTGATCTATTACCTTGCTAATTGAAAGCAAACATTGAAATCAATTCTTAATAATAATAATAAAGGTCTTTATTTTTTTCTACATCCATAATAACAAAAATACAAAAATTAAACAATTAATTGAGACTGTGTAAAAAAAACGAAGATCAGGTGGATGTGTCATACGTTTCAAAGAAACATATATTCAACCTCTGTTTTTCATCTTAAGCTGTGTAAAGAAAAAAAATCCTAATTTCTAAAAATATGTTAGTAATTGGCAATATAACTTATAACGGGTAGTGGTAATAATAATGTTAATAATAATAATAATAATAAAAAAGAAGAAATATAACAATAATATAACCAGAGAGTTAATTAATTTCAATGCTTTTTTAAATGATTGATTTATTTTTTATAGATATTGGTAGATTATTATATATTTTAGGCACCTGATACGTGAAGCAACGTTTGAATATTTCAGTGCGATGTTTGGGTGTAGTTATATCATGTTTGTAGCGAGTGTTTCGTTTGTGTATGGTTCATTCGATAATCCTATTAAAAAGGTACGTCGGTTGTGTTTTCACTAATATTTTGTGAAGGAGACTCGATAAGTGCAGATAACGCCTTTTACTCATGTTGGGCCATTTAAGAGTTTTTAATTTGTGGGAAATGGGCTGACGTCTTCTTACAGTACAAATCAGAAGCATGCACGAATTTTTTGCACAACTTGCACCCTCCTGATGTCCACAGAGTCAATAAACGGACCATAGGCGCAATCTTCATGGTTAAATTTTGACAGCACCATTGCCTCACATAATATCTTTTTTATTGGAAGAGAAAGAAACTGTCTACTAGAATAAATTGTTTTTAAACTTTAATTTGTTGTCTATAATTACCCCAAGATTTTTAGCTTCTTCTGTTGGTCTTATATGCTGGTCATTGACCTTTATTGTAACGATGCTAGAAATTTCATCACCAGCTTTTTTAGGACCAAAACACTAATACAGATGTTTTATTAGAATTTATACTCAGAGCATGATTGGAAGACAACTGAATAATATTATTTACATCTTTATTAATGCATTCTAAGCCTTGAATATAATTATTTGCGTTGAAAGAGTGATAAATATGCGTATCATCGGCACAAAGGTGGATTTTACTAACGTTGGTGACTCTGCCAATATCAGAAGTGTACAGGGTATACAGGAGAGGTCCTAAAATGGAGCCTTGTGGTACCTCTGTTAAAATATTTAAACTGGATGACAATTGCTCCCCATACTTTACTCTTTGTGACCTATTAGTAAGGTAGTTCTTGAAAAGATTTATACAATCAGCAGTGAAACCCATTGATTTTAGAATTGCAAGTAGTAGATCGTGTTGTAGAGTGTCAAAGGCTTTAAAGAAATCAAGTAATACCAGTATTGTAATATTTCCATTATCCGTGGCACGTAGTACATCAACTATGTTTAACAAAGCGGTTTGACAGTTATGTAAAGGCCTAAAGACGTGGACTTTGTAATATGCCCTTCCACATATATACCTTATTATCTTTTAGACTTTAGGGTCTATGATGTTTTAAGCCTTGAATTATCAAACTGATTAAATAAAGCAGAATTAAACGAAGCAATCCTTTAGTTATGTATATAGTGCTCTGCTGATAATAGTGGTGGCAGTTGAAAGTTTGTGGAAGTCACTGGAAGTAATCCTGAAGTGAGTTTTGAAGTCATCTGGAAGTCAGTGGAGTCATGTTTAAATCAGAGGAAGTCATCTGGAAGTCTAAAAAGGCCCACATAAAGTAAGTAGAAGGCATGGAAGTCCAGTGTACAAAGTTTTGGTAGTGGTTTACCCCTCCCCTCGCTTATAATTTTGCATGTGTTTGGGACTCAGTATCATCAATAAGTTTACTTAAAATTTCCCATTAAATGGACATCGTTGATTTTTTCCCATACCCTTCATTTGAGGAAAAGTGCAAACTTCCATTTTTTTTTTTACTTTAAGTAAATAAATAATATTGACCGTATTTTCATAGGCAACCCGTTTGCGGTATATTTATAAACATATTTTATTTAATAAGAAATACACTTTTATCCATTAAACTTAAACAGATGAATCAGATATTTCCTTACATGTCATTAGTTTTCCACTTATATCATATCGCAGTAAAGTGGTTAATAAAACAATAAGACTTGTTAACAATAAAATATTCTATTTTAAAAATTACATCAACAATTTTAAAATACATATTTAATATAAAATAGACTAGATATGGCCATTTTTTAAACCAGATATTAAAAAATATCTCAAATACTCTTAGCAACTTCAATTTTTTAGAATATTGCATACCCATTTACTTATTTAAATTCAGCTTTATTTGATCGAGACAATAATTAGCTTGGTTCACTGATTCGCTGTTTTCATACTTCTTTCCTAAAAAAGAAACATCTTACTAATTGATTACATTTCGTTCAACTTATTTTTTACTATTTCAAAATAAGTTCATATTAAAATTTATAACTTTTTTAAATTCTACATATTTATCTTTATTTATGATTTACCTAAACGCCAAGCTTCACTGCAAAACTTTTTAGCCTCATCAGTAATTCCTTTCTCTAATAATATCAGTCCAAGATTTGCATGAACAACTCCTAGATGTGATTTATCTTCCATCCTTTTTCCTATGTCAACTGCTTCTTTTAAATAAATTTCAGCATTAATCATATCATCAGCTCTAAATGATGTGGTTCCCAAATCATTTAGTAATAAAACTGTTTTTTCAGTGTCATCTGTGTTAATTTCTTTACAGATTTTATATGCTTCTTTTAGATGGAACATTGCTTTACTTACTTCATTCTTGTCTAATAAAAATTGAGCATACCAATCATTGATAACACCATAAAGAATTTTAGCATCTTTATCATCTGTTTTTTTACTTTTATTAATTTGTTCAAGACACCATGAATATCCAATCTCAGCTTGTTCTAGCTCTGCTGTGAGTTGATAAATTCTGGCTAATTTTAAACTAATATGGATAACCTAAAACAAGTATAATTTTAAAGTTCTCAACACCATTCATATTTAAGTAGGAAGTATCAAACCAGAGATAACAGGAGATATAGCTATTAATTGATAAAATATAATACTCATAATGCCGACATCAATACCTGTGTCAATAGGGTCTATTTGTAGATCAGCAATGAAGTAACATATTATGGTATAAGGAAAGGGAACGAATATACTGAAGGATTTGATGGTGGTACAAAACAATTTTATCAATAAATATAAGTCATTATACACCTATAATAACCAGCATTCAAAATGCCAAGTAATAATTATGTAAATGAAAGGGGATAATATACTTTGTAGTTGTAAAATTATAGTACAACAAAAGAAAATTAAAATGTTTTATTGAGTCAATGATACACAAAACATTTTATTAGCAATGTTGATGAATTTTGGCAAATACCCAATCTATAATCTGCTTGAAAATTGTGAAGTGTTCAACAATGTTTATATTTAAATATAAATAAATCAAACCTTAATATCATCTTGTGCAGTTCCCTTAGCTAAAAGCATTTGTAAAACATGTACAAATAATTTGTGAGCTTTATCTAATTCGTGTTGTTCAAACGCTAAGTTCGCCATCAGATCGAAGCAGTAGAGAACACCCTGTTCATGTTGTTGTTGCTGAGCTATCCTTAAAGCTAAATGCAACATTTGCTCAGCTTTTTCATGTTGATCTCTTTGCATACAAAGCACAGCCCTCTTTAAAGTCATTATTAATTCTGATTCTTTATCTTTATCATCTTCTACGAATCCTAACCAGGTCAATAAACTTATTGCTAATACTGTTTTCGCTTCTGATTTTATTAGTCTTTTACTAGTTTGTAGGTTATGTGTAACTAAAATCTTTTTATGTAGGCTATGTACGTTATGACATTGTAAAAAAACAAAGTTTTTAGGAACCACACAAGTTCTTAGTTTGTACAATAAGTTGGTATTGTATAAAATTCTTGCAAACTTATTCATTTTTTATATTATAATTTATTATAAATTATTGTTATTCACATTTCAAAACTCTGTCAAATGTCATCATGTGTCACATGTCACAATTAAAATGTCAATGTTCTACGTGCGTTCGGAATCTTCGGAGTAAAAGAGATTGCTGTGTTCGTGTATAGAGAACTGGGATTGAAATTACAGTGATCATGTCGGTGACATTAGGTCTTTTCCTTTGCATCGAAAGTGTAGCACTGAGCTACACCACTTCTGAAAATATCGTTCCATTTATACAAATTGTATGGATGGAACGATATTTTCAGAAGTGATGTATTTCAGTGCTACACTTTCGATGCAAAGGAAAAGACCTATTTAGAACTGAGTCAAGAGCCACTACCAATGAAGTGGACTCCTTTAGCGACTACCTATAAATATGGAGCATAGCATAACAAGGTAGACTCGCCTTTGACCTCATCATGTACCAGGCGGAGAACGGGACCACGTGCGTGCGTTAGAAATGGATGTAGTATTTCAAGAGGTTCTATTTATATTTTATAAAAATTATTGATCAAATTTTAATAAATCTATACACCTTCTGAATCAAAGGTAAATTTAAAGAAACAATTTTCAATATATGCAGGATATTCAAAAAGCCCTTCTTTATATTTTCTTATAGATTAAAACAGTAGCTCAAAATGAAGGAATGGTTCTGTTAGCATTTGATAATTTAAAAATGTGATTTTGTTATTCTAGTATCATTATTAAAAAACTACAGAAAGAGCAAATAAAAATATAAAGCAATTTATTATTTTTATATCGGTGTATTGCTACGACTACCTTTTTTTAAATAAAAAACTTATTCAAAACAATATAAAAACTTTATTTCAGACATAAATATACAAATAGGATTTGACCAACATACCTTTTGGATTGCACGCCACGACACCTACTTCTAGCGTTGTATGTATAACGTTATGACAACCTTTTTAGGACAGTAATTAGCTGCAATTTTATAGATGCCTTTATAATGTTAAATAAATAAAGCCTTCTCCTATATATGCCTCCATATATGTTAACAAAACCTTATTTATGAAATTACCGCATAACATTCTTATTACAAATATTTTGGCATACTACACATTTCCTCACCATCCTAAATGTCCTTATTAAACAGTTTATTATTCAAATTATTCTAAAAAATCTCCAGAACCACAAAAAAAAAACATAAAAACTGAATCTGTCACTTGACGCCGTCAAAAAAATGTCTTAGATTAAACAGTTTATTGTTCAAATTATTGTAAAAAATCTCCAGAACCACAAAAAGAAATACCTTAGCAGGTTGCCAAACTTAATGATTATGAACCACAATGTTCAATATCCATATATGATATTCGAGCATGCTCGAAGCATACGATACACTTGTAAAAGACGATAAATATAAATGTTAAGTCTTTATTCACTTATAGTAATATATTTGATGGAAGAGATCTGACAACATAGTAAGAGCGTATACCGTCAGAATACGTACAAATTTATTCTATCCGATATCTTTAATTTGGAGAGTGAGCGATAGGAAAATGGCTGCCCGGCTGGTAACAATGAACAATGAATATCGGCTATCAAATGCTTTCCAATACGCCGTACTACAAGTGCATTTAAAAACTACAGAGAGTTCGCTTTAGCGCGAGCAGGAAACGAATAATATCAGCGTTATCGGTTTATACGGCCCGACCACATTGTAATGTTGGCTGGCCCGAATAAACTGGCTGATAATATAGTTTTCACATGGACTTGTGCATAGGGTATTGGAAGATGTTCAGTTGCCAACACTGCATATCAGTGTATGAACACAGAGAAACATATATGATACGAAGATGCAACTAAAAAAATAATGTTGTATATGTTTTGGATATAAATTTAATAGAAATTTTAAAAATATTCATAGCATATAACGTTAAAACACAGTATTATTTATAAGTGACTGTAAACATGACAAAAATTAATTTAATCATCAGAAAGTAACAAATCGGTATCGTCGGGTATCTCAAAATCGCCAAATTTTAAGGAATCACCATCTATGCTTCCATCACAATCCAATGTTAAATCATCATATTTACTTAGATCGTCTAAATCTATATCAGATCCAATTGTTTTTTCATCGTTATTATCATTATTTTCAAATGTATCTGTATGTTTACGTTTAGATCTTATTTCTTCACACTCTTTGATTTTAACCCGCTTTTTTCTAAATCCTAGTGCTCTCAATCTCCTACATAAAAATCTTTTACTTCTATATTTGATGTCACCACAAAAGCAACCAGGTCCTTCCCTAAAAACAAAAAAAAACACAAGTGATCTGTAAAGAAGAAAATATTGGGATGAGGGTGAAAATATCTATCGCATTTTTTATGAATTTTTTGATATGAATCATACCAGCAGGTTGGTTCTGCGACTTCCCTGTTATATGGGTTTTAACTAATAAATCAATATTTTGAACATTTTGAACAAAAATATCCAATTCCCCTACGAATTTACGAAAAAAACACCCCCATATCCACAAAGTAAAAATAACACAAAAAATTAAAAAGCTGAGAAAGAAAAGAAAAAATGAATAAATCGACTAGATATCGAACCTGTGGAACTTTCGAACTCTAGATGTTCATGTCTCTAGGAGTTGAGTTATCGAGGCACGAAACGTTTTATTATTTATTTACTAAAATCTTACTCAAGAGCTCTAAAATCGACTGCTCGTATTGCATGAAGAACAGCCATCAAAAAGAATACGCTGAGAGAACAGATAACAGCATTATGTGTTGATGGATTCTTCAGTGATTTAACAATGTAACTGTAGTCATAAGAGGTTTCTTCAAGTTTCTGTGCTGCTTGCAAGCACATTGCTTTTGCTCCATTTCCCAATGGGTACCAAAAATCCAGTAGTATAATTTCCATTGCAAACATTGCAATAAAAAACTAAAAAAGATTAAAGAACTTTGAAATAATTTAGATATCTTCTCTAGAAACTATTTTAATCAATCATTTTCTTAAGGTTTTGTAAGTACTATGGTTAATGGATAACGGCAATAATAGTCAAACAAATAAACATTGAAAAGAATAATATTTTTAGTATTGCCGATGAAAAATTATTTAGCTAATATGCCTACCGACATGTAAGTAAGTAACTCTATAGACTAGGAGTACCATCATACCAGAAAAGAAATGTTAGGTAAGTATATCCTTCTTACTTCAAATATATTTTGACTCATTCGATCCAACTTCCGCAGGTGTTTAGGATACAATCTTAAATCGTAAAGTAGAAGAAACACTGCTGTGAGAAAAATGTATATAGAAATCATGGGTCCTTTTGAAAGTTCCGTGGGATTTCTGAAAATTTGGTAATCATTACAAATAAGTATGTAGGCTAACAAAACCGCTAAAAATTTTCCCATGATCGTTTCTTCGAAAGGATTTAATTTACCAGTAATAAAAATGAAATATACTTTGTCACGATGATTTTGACTTTTAAAAACAGAGTATAGTTACATTGCGTTCGGTCTGCCAAGCTCCTTTAACTCCTTTAACACTTTTAACTTCAAACGACCCTTTTATCGTTCAGTTTAGTCCGATAAGTGACAGTTCAACCCGCTTAAATGTCATTTAAAAGCACACTAAAAAACTCCACTCCTGTCCCATTCCAGCCAGCCTCTGGCCAAACGGAACGCTACTTCAGTCAACAACTAGGCTTCTAATCTATGACTAGGCTCTTCTTTAAGTAAACTGTATATCGCACCTCCGATAAAATTAATAGAGTTATTGATATTAACAGAGATAAGGGACATATCTCTGAGTATAACCATAAGTAAATTACCAAATATACCAATTGAGAACATATTGTAGAGCAAACTGGTCTCACTGCTAAACCGTGACATCTGCCATCTAGTGGAAGACATGTGGAGTAACAGATATGACTGTTTGAGATGATGCACCTTTTAATATTGAGCATTTGTGTCTATTTAACATATAACCCAAGTTTTTTAAGTTATTTGATCGGATATGCGATATATTTATTTGTTTACTACACATACTTTGATTTTCTCTTACTATACGGAGAATGGTCGCACTGCGCAGCTTTCTGAGTGCCTTTTACACATGCCTTTTAAAAGGAGCTAGAAAACTCCGCCATTTTGATGCCTTATTACGTGTTGCCTACATCTTGGCGCAATATTTTTAATAGGTGCGTTTTAATCATCTGCTTCTGCTTCGGAATTGTCGGTTTTCTTGTTTTAATCTGACAGGCAGTAGCCGAGATGACATATATGTCTGCCTTACATAAAATATGACCTGAATACAATTAAACAAGAGCTTTATTATGAATGAATGGAACTAGCACGAAGTTTGTATTTTTCTTGTATGTACGAGTATTGGCAGGTTTGGCGACTACTATTTCAGATAACATGGAACCTCACAGCAACCCTGATAGATAAGTTGGTAATTTTCTTTGCACTATCACCAGCAGGCGCACTCCGTAATGTCGGTGCGTATGTACCAGAATTATGATTGAAGCGGAAACCTCACTAGGATCAAAGGGTTTCTTGTCGAGAGCGCCTGCTAGTCCATCTTAATGCTGTGACATCATTGTCAGTAAAAGTGAGACAAGAAAAAATATTTTTATTTCATTTTTCAAATACTTTAAATTTACATATTTTTACTTATTGACTAAAAAATACTTTTTCTATTGACAGATAGTTTATCGTCACAAAAACGATTTTTATCAGAACAACAAGTGCTTGAACGTGTTAGGCGTTTTCCAGAATTTCCTGCATCAGCATCACTTTTGTCACTTCTATCACCATCATTACCGGGTGCTGCTTTCGTAATTCTTTTGTTTCTTTTCTTTTGTGGTGTTTTACGTTTCATTTCTAGATTATTATCGCTAAATGAACCTCCTGATCCGGGATTAGCGTTTAAAACTTCTTTTATTATTTGCTCATCGTCGATAGTAACACTGTTGTCGAGTTCTTTTGTGATTGCCCATTTAAATTGTTTTTTTACAAATCGTTTGAATTTGAAACCAATGTCGTTGATAAAATAACCAAATCCTTCATCCAGCACTCTAAGATCGATGATTCTGGTAGCATGAAGAACAGCCATAAGAAAGAAAATACTTAGAGAATAACTAACGACGTATCTAGTTGTTGTATTTCGGAGTGTATTACAGAGCACGTCACATTTCCAGTCGTCATTAGATAGCATATCATCGATTAGATCAGCCAGTTTTGGAACATTTTCCATTGCTGCCGCTTCAAGAGGAAGCCAGAAGTCTACTGTCATTCCTTCTGCAATAAAGGCAGCAACAAGTACCTTAAAAATAAACAAAAATAAAAATATATTGACTAGAACCAATGCATATGTGGGACTCTGATCAGATTTCAAATAGAATCGCCTTCCAAAGTACGAAATTTATGCAGTGTAATCTTAAAGAAATCAGAGTCTGTGGACCAGAGATGTAACATACACAAGTATTTCTGTCACTTTCTTAAAATGTTTTAACTTAGTAGAGAAAGCAGAGCTCGTTGTAGGGGATGCTGTTAAGTTTAATAATTATAAGATGTTCTATAAGGGAGAGTCCTCAGTAACATCTTCCAACCTTTGGATCTGAACCGAATAATGAGGAAACCGAATTACCGAGGCATATTTAAGTGTTGATTTAACATAAGCCACACGAGGTTATCAATGCTTTAATCACTGTAGTGATTTTAAAATGACTGAGTTTATATGCGAAACAGAGGAAAGGTTGCTATCAAAGACAACACCGAAATCATGGATTTCGTAAACTCTTTATATTATTAGATCATGCATTAATGTACTATTTCGTTTTCTATGCTATTTTGTCCCCAAATTTTATATATTGTCAAATAACAAATAAGCTAATTTTTTTGAGGAGGGCTATCACAGGAATCTATGCTTATGTGATTTCCATAGTCTTAAAATCTACTTCCACAAAGTTTGTACCCTTACGGCTATCAGTCTAATTAAAGTCGTTCTTAGTTTACATTTATACTAATTTACAGTTGAGTCTTCCTTCCCTATAACATTACTCATCTTATTTGTTAATCATTTAACCTGGTATTTACATTTTTTTGTAGGAAAAACTTAAATGTAAAAGAAAACGTTACCTCAAAAATTCCTTGTACGAAAAATCCAAGCTTTCTAAGGGAACTTGGATACATGGGTAGTTCACAAAGCAACAGAAACAAAGCTAGCAAGAATAAATACGAGGACAGCAATGGTCCCGGCATAACTGCTGGCGATGCTTTAAATATCTGGTCGTTCATAAAAATCGTTATAAATGCTACAAGAACTGCGATAAAGCTGCCCATAATTTTTACTTTGAGTGAAGCGTTTCATTTCCGAAAACAAAAATGATAAAATATTTGTTTGGAAAACATATAGGTAGGTACTGTTTCAAAATTTAGTGTGAAACATCAATGTCCTGTCAAAGATGTCAGGTAGATGTTTTTAATATTAGAGGGCCATGTATGTCAAGCTTGACAAGAGTCTGTGCCTCAAACTCATACTTTGATTTTCTTTTACTATACGGAGAATGGTCGCACTGCGCACACATCAATCAAAGTATGTGACTGCGCAGCTTTCTGAGTGCCTTAAAAGGAGATAGAAAACTCCACCATTTTGATCCCTTATTACGTGTTGCCTCCATCTTGGCGCAATGTTTTTAATAGGTGCGTTTTAATCATCCGCTTCTGCTTCGGAATTGTCGGTTTTCTTATTTTAATCTGACAGGTTAAAACGACTAAACCAACAATTGCAGAAGCAGAAGCGGATTATTAAAACGCACCTGATATTTTGCTTGCTGCTGTCAGTGTCAGTGAATAGCATTCAGCAGAAGCAATCGATTTATGATTTTCTGCTGAATGATATATAAAAGAGCGATTAGTAATCAAATGATGAGTTATCGGCGCCATTTAAAACATCGAATTTGAAATACGATTAGTTATCACATCGTGATCAGATTTAGAACTCATACCAACTGAAGTGAATGTTTTGTGGTGGTTCTAGTAACTCATAACCTTATTTTATGTTTATTTTGAATTCATTTTTACACTGGATGTGTCATTTTTCACTGAAATGGAGGACTTTGAAGTGATATATGTTTATAACAATATGAAATATATTGTAGTTGGCAATGAAGTGTTGCATAATGCATTAAAATCAGGCAAATACATTAATTTGTAATTATGTAGTTGAGTAATTTATTTGGTGTTTTATTCTAAATTTTGTACCTATGTTTTAGATGATGATTTTTTTCTGAAGTACATGTAACTTTTATGTCGCCTGTCGAAGTGCCTAAAAAGTTCATTCAGGCGATTCACTAATCGATAAGTCATCGCTAAGTTATCGTTTGATAATCGGTTGCTTCTGCTGAATGCGGCCATTTTTTGGAGTCACAGTTTATTGCTAAAGAATCAGCCAGCTCACTCGGACCAGTTAAAAGTTCCAAAATAACATCCACTCCAGGGATACAAATTCAGGATACGCAGAAGACTGCTGTTTTATTATAGGCGGTTGTCATATATTGTATCTGAGTATTATCCGAGTTGCCCAGTGTATAAACTGGAACATTGAATTTAAAAGTGCCGACGCAAAGTGAGCGATCTGATTCTTTACCTGTAAACTGTGGCATAGGAATCAAAATGGCCGCACCCTATGTTGGGCGTGTCGGACCTCTCTCTTGCACCGTATAGTAATCAAAGTATGTGGTGTCAGTGAATATCACATACTTTGATTTTCTTTACTATTCGGTGCAAGAGAGAGGTCCAACACGCCCAACATAGGGCGTGGTCATTTTGATTCCTATGCCACAGTTTATAGCTAAAGAACGCTCACTCTGCGTCGGCACTTTTGATGTTAATGTTCCAGTTTATACACTATAGGTCTTTTCCTTTGCATCGACAGTGTAGCACTGAGCTACGTCACTTCTGAAAATATTGTTCCATCCATACAATTTGTATAAATGGAACGATATTTTCAGAAGTGGTGTAGCTCAGTGCTACACTTTCGATGCAAAGGAAAAGACCTTGTTCAACTCGGATAATACAATATATGACAACCGCCTATAATAAAGGGATCAAAATGGCGGAGTTTTCTATCTCCTTTTAAAAGGCACTCAGAAAGCTGCGCAGTGGGGTTAATAATGACAAGTGGAAGTGACATGCAATTAGTGTTTTTTTTGGTTAGATTACAGAATTAGCTCAGTCAAAATTGGAAATGACATTAGCTACGTAAATTATCAAAAAAATGCTTCTGACACCATGTAAAATACATGTCAAACTGTTCCTTATTAAATTGTAACATCCAGTCTACACAAATATAATTCTTTTTGTTAACATATCAATATCACACAATTTTATTCCGGCCAGTTTCATAAAATTAACCTAGAAATTAAATGTCAAAATTTCTTGTCATATTCCTTAAAAACGATTTAACGTTAATGCGTTACAATAACCGGTTATCTTTTTAGGGCTTTAGTCACGTGATTTCAAGGTTAACCAAAGGTATAACCATGGTGATTTCCAGTTCATCGCTTTAAAACGGTTATAGAAAATTAACGGCATTGACGTTCGACCTGCCAACTACAGTCAATTTGGCGAAGTTTATAAAAAGGACGGAAATTTGATCATTTCCGATTCGCCTCCTTCTCTCTAGTCTTCAAAGAGAAAATCAAAGTATGTCTTCATATCTCAGACCACATACTTTGATAAAGTATGTGTCTCAGACACTATCAGACATATCTCAGTTAAACAAAATATCTACAGTGTGAGCCATACTTTTGTATCTCGTCAACAGTAGCGGAGGGGAGAGGAAAATTAATTGACTTAATTTAATTAAAACCTATATAGTTGAAAATAATTAAATTATACTAGAAGAATTATAATAATTTATTATAAGTTTGTCATTTTTAAAGTGTCCATCATGGATATTTTATGGACATCCATTGGACTTCTGAATGGGTATAACCATTGGATAACGGAAAATGAATGTCCAATGGACATCCATAATAAGTTCATGGACATCCAGGACATTATTTAAACAAAATATGGACGTCCAATGGACGTCGTGTGCTGTCTAAGCGTATCGATATATCTGCCTTATTTAACATAAATATTTTATTGCCAAAAAGTCATCTCCATTAGCACACGGAGCGCCCGTTCATGGAGTAAGCCAAACATAACATTATTGTGACTTTTACCAACTCAGAAAACTTCAATTACCTGAACTAGACTAATATAAGTGAAGCGGGTACTGTAATATTCCAAAATACTTTACCACCTTATAAATTATTTGTTTTTATATAATAGGCATTTTTTAAAACGTAATAAGAATTCAAGTTTATTTCCGAAATATTAACGACATTTAATAATTATACTCTCCTGGGAAAAATATTCAGGCACGCCACTGGTACGAGAACTATTTGTCAAGGCCACTTGTAGGAGGTTAAAATCAATAATTTGGGTCTTGTGTGGTCGGACGATAGAAGCCGTTAAGTATTCTTTGGCTGTGGCGAATCGCTCGTTTCTCATCCACCCACCAGCTGATATTGATTCGTTTTGTGTATCTCTGTGAGGATATCACGATCTAAAGAGGTGAAGCACCTACAACAAAGAGGATACCACGAGGAAACAAAGAGGTACCGATCTAAAGCCGTATCAAAGAGGATAGATACCTAGGAATAAAGAGGCCAACAAAGAGGTAAAGCGGTTACAACGAGGATAGATTGGTGAAGGTGTCCAAGCGGTAGAATAACCGTGGAGCTGTAAAACACCAAGATTAGAGCAACCAGACATCTCCTTATCAACGGTCCAGTTAAAGCTGGAAAATCCTCGACAGTCCAACCGAGCCAGATAAGTGTCTGTCATCAGAGTCTGAGTACACTTGTTTTATATACGTTCGGAGAAGAAAATTTTTTAAATAAAAGTTATTTCTAATATTATTTTCTATAATTTTTGTTCCACGCAAAATTTTTCTAAAACGGTCCGTATTCGACAAATTTTACAAAATGTAAAAAATTATGATTTTCAAGAAAATTGTTGAATTAAAAGATGTTTGCCATATCGATCTCTATAATTTTTGTTTTTTTTTTGACATGATTTCTCTAAAATGGACAATAATGGAAAAATTGGAGGAAAATTATAAAATTTAAATTTTTCGAAATTTTCGAGTTAGATGTACTTATGTGGAAAATGTATATATTAAGTTAATCTCTAAATATTTACAGAGGTGCTACAATAGATTGTACAAAATAACCGAAAAAAGCCCGTAATAACTAGATAGGAAAGTCATGTGTTGGACACATCAGATTTTTATAGGTATTATACAATCTTAGTTTTATCTCAACATTCTATAGTTAAGATATTTTTCAGTCTTTTACAATTATTATTCTCTAATACAATTCAATTCGCAATCAGCATTCCTTTCATTTTTTGTTTCACACATTCTGCCAATTCTAAAGCGAGAGAACTACTGGTGTACTAAAAATATTTTGTAATTAAATGAAATAAACACCCGTGAAATCTGTCCAATCTTTATTTTGTAATCTGTACCAATTTGCAATTAAATTTAATACCCATTAAATTTTAGGCAACAACCCACTTTATATCTGACCTTTTTCAAATTTGGATCCGCTACTGTATTTTCTTTTACATTTTTTTTTACAGATTTGATTAAAAGTCAATATATGATATTAATAAAACTATTATTTACTGGGTAATATAGAAAAACGTTCTATACGCTACTATTATTAATCACTGTGACAGTTAAAAATTATCAGATAAAATTGCAATATATGATAATTATAGATATAAAAATAGTGTTCATCGATGTATATCCGTGTTACTTACCTGGTAGACGTATTATCTTTCTTGCCAATCCTATAATAACAGTCTTTTAGTTTTTCTATAAGTAAAAATATTTAATATTGAAATAAATTCATGATGAAACTGGTACATGCACTTTCATCACCTTTTTGTCGTTCTCAAGTACACATCACTATTTAATGTAAGTACATTTTACAAGAAGTCTATCTTATTTTATTAGACTGTGATATTATTCTTAATTGCTACTTGCTAAATATTATTTTACTTAATATCCAAAAAAACAAATGGAAAGTTATCAAAAATGGGAATTTTTAGATATCTATAAGAGTGTGAAGAACATACAATAAGGCTGTTTGAAAACGAACCAGAGCCAATTTTGGGCACCCCAGGTTATTTACGAAAAATCGCTCGGACCCGTCAATTTTTTATTTTAGGGGGAAACATTTTTTTGCCAGTTTCACCCCCTGAACGAAAACCCTCTAGCGGGGTAGAAGCTTACTCCTAAGATCTTAAATGGAAAGTGGACTCTAATGATATCTTATTTTGAAGATATTTTTACCTAGATTATAATTCTTGAATAATATAACCACTCAAGCAAAAACTTTCGAATTTGGAACAATAAACGATAGCCTCGTAAAAGACAAGATCATATTTGGCATCAAATCAGAAAAACTTAGAGAGAAACTCATTACAACTG